CAAGTAAATAAGACGATCGGCAAAGCAAAGGAGAAGGGATGCCAAAATACCCCACACGTTGCACCCTCTAATACACAATAAATAACAGTCAACTGCACGTTCAGAGTACCACACATCCATGGCCCAGTCTGAAATTGGCAACACACCTCGTCTCACCATTACTATAAAATATTTCACACTGAGTCCTGGATTTAAACTTTCAAAGCCTGATATGTTTTCCTGGCTTCTCAGCCCAGCCAAACTAATGGATTTAATCGAAAGATACAGCTGGGAGGAAAATCATCTTTCAGTGAGAAAGAAGGATTTCTGACAGTGCCACAAAATGTTCCGGAGAGGGTGCCATTTGCCTTCTTCCACAGTCTTCACCTTTGTGTGCCATGAAGAAAAATGAGCCCCTGCTCCAGTCCAGAACAGGCGGTATTCATCCTGACTTTTTGCATCAGGCATAGCGAGGTTTGGAGGTGTTTACAAAAAGCTCAGATGACGCTCTGTGTGTGCATGTGTCCATATTCCAAATTATATCCTGCTGTTTGACAACCACTTCCCCAAGGAATCGTAGTTCTGTGAGGCGTAAAGCATGGTTCTTTGAGGGAAGCAATGTACTTTGAATGTGCTTTACAAGTATGGTGAATATGCAGCCAGAGAAACAAGGGGATAGAAAGTGTATTCATTGTGTTATGGTAAATGCAAGAAGAGGCAGAACGGGCCTTTTCCCAGCCATGGCAAGGCTTTGCCAGGCAAGGATTGCTGGAGAAGTGGGTTGGAGGGTAGTGACTGGCACCCAAAGCTGAGAACTCCAAAGGCTAGTCAGAACAAAATGGAGGCAAGCTGGTGCCTTCTGGCAACTGTTTTGAGAGGAAAGACTCCAAATGATAGTTTGCCCTACCTGAGCCAATAGGGTGTGTGTGTGTGTGTGTGTGTGTGTGTGTGTGTTTGCCATAATCTATTTATACATGCGCAGGGAGACTGATGATGCACACTTTTCTGGTCCTACCCCTACAATCCAGCTGTTCAGCACAGCATCTGTAAAGGGGAGCCTGTGACTGGAATACGAAATGAGCATGAGTTCTAATTTTCAGATATTGCCATTTGTGGTGGGGCCAGCAGAGCCCAATGGCATGATCCCACATTCACTGCATGTGGACAATGGGCAGTCCGCTCTGGTCTCATCCCTCCTTCTGAATCTACAAGGTGGAATTGATTTTTCTCATTGGACAGAAGAGGAGGAACACAAATAACTCACCTTCATTGTGGACTCACGTTGTTGCTTTACATATATTCTAAGGATTAAAAAAACCCCAAAGCCCCTTGATATGACAGACCTGCCTCAGCACAGGCTATAACCCTGAAGAGCCATTTTGGTGTAACTGTGGTTGAAGACTTTCCATATCGTTCATTCTGTGGTTATGCAAAGTGTTTGGCTGCCTCGAGGGCTCAGAATGTGAATCTGGATCATCTGTTAATTAATTCACAACTAATTCACTGCAGAAATTGTTGACTCCAACAGTTTTGGGGTGAGGTTTCTGCCTGGTGAGCACAATCTTGCCGATTGGAACTCTGCACAATGAAGAGCTTTTAATAATGTCTATTTTTCCATTCTCCGTATTTAGAAATGTGCCCGTGGCCAATTCTTTAACAATCTCCTTTAAACATATTGGATTAGAACCTTATCCACTCCAAATACTGACAAAGTGGATTGTTTATTCTTTTTTCTGGTTCTCATTATTTGCCTTCTATTTTGCCTTGGGTGAGAACGAAATGGTCTTTTGTCGTCTTCTTGGAGCTGTTTTCAATCGCACACGTTTCCATAACGGCCAGAAGATTCTGAAGCACCTGATCTCTTTTTAAACCTCAGCTAAAAGGCTAACATTTTACAAGAAGTTTCAGGGGAAATCTATTGTCTTTCAGCAGAATTCACATTAGGTATTTGGCTATTGACATTCAGCTGTGTCCAACTCCAAGAGAAGGGCTCAAGTCCTATGGGGAGAACAATGTCCCTTTGAGGGGGAAGGACTCTTAGGGAAGAAGCCATAGATCAAGCAGTAGTGTACATGTTATGAAGTCTCAGGCAGAGCTGACAGCTGCATCTCCAGGTAACAGGGCTATAAGAGGCTGCTGAGTTACATCCTTTAGATAGCCTGCCTTAGTATGTGACAGTTCCATAAATCATGTCCTCCAAATCATGGAGAGCCACGTGTTGCGTGAGATCACCAAACTGCCTTCTTGTTGCTGGGGTGGGCTCATTTGGATGACCTCCTTGCCTCATTGTTCGCCCCTGTGTTACTGGGGCAGATTTCTGTCGGTTGGGGTTTGATTGGCACATAAGGGGCTATTTAAGGGGCTGCACGTGGCGAAGTACTTCCTCTTTCACATCGGGCAGCGGATCTCCCGCCCTCCCTCCCTATAATTCTAGGTTGTGTGTTTGGCCTTGTTATGCCTGTCTAGGGGTCGTCTGTTTTTGGAGCAGGAGCCCAGTAGGAATTTTGCCACTTGGCTGATTGGCTGGTGCCATTTGGTTTTTGCCTACCGTGTAGCAAATCGTCACAACTTTGTAAGGTCGGCGGTTAGGCATTGGTTCATTCTTTGGTGGAGGGGATTATGGATTGGCTGTGCCTGCCCCTCAATTTGGTTGCTGCTGCTAGGGAATTCCCTTAAAGGAATCCAGGGGCTCGATTTGCTCTGTCCGATCCCCTCTCAGGGGTGGGGCCATGCCAGAGTTCCTAGGAGCATCTGGGGTAAACTAAGAGGTGGAAATCCGCCTCTGTGCTCCCCCAGTATGTTTTCCCTTACTGACCTCTGGAGGTTCCAGTTGTCAGTCCTGTTCCTGCCAGCGCAGGTTCAGGTAGTCCGAACCAATGCCTAAGCAACCACTCACATGCTGTAAACAATAAAGTTGTGGCCAAATTAATGCCAAAAATCCTAAACAAATCTTCTGTTTCCTGTGTGATTTATTTTGGAGGGGATTTGGGGGTCTTCACACGCAAGTTCCCCAACTTCTTCAGTTTACTACATTTTAAATCACAATTATAAGTGGCCTGTGCTTTAGAAGCTGCCAAAAAGAGTGAATGCATACGTGCTAACATTTGCAAGCAACAAGAGCACCTTTTTGATTTTCAGCCTGCAAATCTCTCATATATGTTCCATTTTAAAATTAAGGCACATCTGAAATCTCTCCCTCTCCCTTCTTCCCCCAAGATTCTTCTTTCGCATATTAATATTGTCAGTGTGAGAGATAATGCAGAAGAAAAACTGAATCTGCATTCCAAGCAAGGAAGATTCTGATCTGTCTCGGAATGTAAACATCGCTAAAGTTGCATCGCTCCACTATTCTGCCGAGTTTCCTTCAAGCACACAGACACAAAAATGATGGTGAATAGCATTTGCGCCAAATGCTTTAATTGGAAACATAGTTGTGGTACATTTAATTAGTGCTGTTATCCATCTGAAACAGTCTCCATTTCTTTCCTTTTTTTAAAAGGAAAGTGTTTCTATGTAAACACTGAGTGCCAAACCAAAAACTTCTATTTTGCTTCTTTGCTTCCAAATACAATTAAATCAAGTATGCTATATAGTCTAGTTAATTTGCATGCATATGCTGGCCTTCTCATTAAAATAGCTTTACATTTCTCTTACATAACATACTTTACTTTTTGCTCTTTTCCTTGTATTGCGGAGGCTTTCTGTGCATATGTATCTATCCATCTGCCCAACCACATCCTAAGGGACCCAGGGAGAGAGACAGAGACAGAGGGAGAGAATCTGTTTTATGTCTGTGCAAGTTGTTCCACATCTTCTCTTCCCAGTCCCGCAGTGTAACTGAAAACCTATTAATTTATGTTCTGCAGCATGTATTCCGATCCACACTAATTAAGAATGCCCTTCTCCTCATCCTTGACCACATGCCTGCAGGGCTATAGAAGCGGAAGCAATGAGGTTCCCTTTTTTGGCACATCACTCCCTTTCTCTGAGGTTCTCTGCACATTTGGGACCCTCTGTGGTTATCTCAACAATTTTGACAAAGATGTTTGTGGCCAGAGTTTCATAGCTTGAAGGTGACAAAATGAGTAAAAAATAAATCTGTTCACAAATATTTTTAAGCAAGCTGTGAAACGATCCATTTTATAATTACGTTTTCCTTCACAGCAGAATTTTCCAGTAACAGCTAAATTTATCTTTAGCAACCTTTTCCCCCCTTTCCCCCATTTTCAGGCGGTCAAGGGTTTTCATGTGGCTGAATTATACATGTAAGCTAGCTCGAAGGCCCTTTTAAAACTGGAAATGTCATTTGGGGAGGGACCACTGAGATCAGAGAAGCAGCAGTGGAGAGAAGCAGATAATAGATGAGATTCTAGTGAAGAAGGTGCTGCCAGTGAGATGGGGAGGCAGTACCAGCCAAGGCAACAAGAACTATCTAAATCCTCTAAGGAGCCATCCTAGATCCCATAGTCATTTATTCCCCTTACTTGAGATGGCACATTCTTACCATTTATATACAGTATTTATAGAATGGGCTAGCAGTGAGGCTCTCTAGAACTTTAGTAAGATTACATATGCACAGACAGGGGAGAGGCAGAAGGTCTTTGTTCAATCCCCAGTACAGTGGAAACTTGGGTTACGTACCATCCTCCTTACAAATGCTTCAGGTAATGAGCTCCGCTAACCCAGAAGTAGATGTTCCTGGTAGCGAACTTTACCCTGGGATATGAGTGGAAGTTGCGTGCTGGCAGCGCGGTGGCAGCAGGAGGCTACATTAGCCAAAGCACGCCTCAGGTTAAGAATGGTTTCGGCTTAAAAATGGACCTCCAGAATGAATTAGGTTTGTAACCGGAGGTACCACTGTATCTTGAATTTTTAAAAAGGAAGGAAGGAAGGAAGGAAGGAAGGAAGGAAGGAGGTGATTTGAAATACCTCTGATAGAGACTCCAGAAACCTGCCTCCAGTCAGAATAGACAACACTGGAGTAGATAGAGTCTGACCTAGTACAAGGCAACTTCCTACCTGCTCAAATAGCTCAGTTGGTAGAGCATGATCCTCTTAATCTTAAGATTGTGAGTGCAAGCCCCACATTGGACAAAAGATTCCTGCCTTGCAGGGGGTTGAACTAGATGACCCTCAAGGTCCCTTCCAACTCTTCAAGTCTATGATTCTATGATTAAAAGGAAGCAACCCACATTTGCCTCTTTGCACCAAGGCACTGGTTGGAATATTTTCCTATGAATGCATCTTGGAATGTAGGGCACTAGGGAGCGGCAGCCACTGTTAAAAACCATGATTGGCAGTAAGAACCAGCAGCTGCTGGGTTCATCCATAACCTCCAACATTTCTCCAATGAAAATAGGGACATCCTAAGGAATGGAGGGAGTGGGACATTTCAGGATCAAATCAGAAACCGGGACAGCTTCTGTAAATCCAGGACTGTCCCTGGAAAATAGGGACATTTTGTGCCTATATATATCTGTCCCTAATCAGAACATACTTTTCTTCTGACAAGGGATGGTGAGTTGGGATCCTGTGATGCTTGAGGATGCAACTAGATATAAGAGAGGCCCGATTGCATATTTTAGTTGGGTTTAATAGTTTATAACATACAAAAAAGACAAAGGTGCTTCGTACAAAACAGCAGCATCAAAACAGTAATATTTTCAGTAGGCCGAAGAAGCTACATGACTATTCAAAGCACTCTTAGACCACAAAAAGAAACAGACTCAGGCAGAAAAAGCTGGAACCTAAAACCTGAAAAATGATCTGGGGGGAAAGGCACTGCAAGAAGACATTTTTCATTTTCAGAGAAGCACACTTTGGGAATAAACATTCTTCATACCTTCCCAGAATCACTACAGAGAGAAGGGATGAGGGAAAGGATGAAAAAGAACAGGAGCTGTTATATGTAAATACCTCAGATGTTCTCTGAGCAAGTTTGTATAAATTTGCAGAATTAAATGATTGCGGGTTTTGTGTTCTGCTTACTAGTCCCTTCTTTCTTCATCGGCCTCAGTAAATTCTCACTTCAAATTAATCCTAGTGCTTCCGCAAGTCCCCCCCTTTAAGCAAAATAAATGTTTCCCCCCATTCCAACCTATATCAACATTTCAGTAGACATGCTTTCATTTAAAAAACACCTTTTGCCTTTCAACTAAATGAGCACAGAATTCGTCCCCCAAAGTGCTGCCATTTTGTGTGCATAGCTTATGTTCCCAGATCTTGTCATGACCATGGTGAGCCCTTGGAGAAGCTGGGCTTGAACTAAACGTCTTTTACTTCAAAAGGGAGCACACTTGCTATTGGACCACACAAGTGTCCATTTGGCATAGAAATCCATTCTATATAGATCAAATGTCAGATATACACACTCAGCACATCTTAAATAACTTGTACGGAGTTCCACACAGGAGTCCAACTGACTCTAATAAAGTGTTTGACATGTGGAAGACTTGCAAGATCAAGTCAATGATATCTGATATTGGAAATTTTGTTTTATAAGCCCATAGCAGACTCCCCCCCCCCCCCATGGCTTGGCTTTGAGAATAATTGAAAAAAGTGCTCAACAATTATTTTAAAAAGCTCTCACAAAAGGAAAAAGCACAGCTGTTCAATAAGAAATATTTATGATTGGCAATTTTGAAGTGTTCTATAATTTACATTTTAGCAGAATTTGCAAAGGCAAACTAACAACATTTTCTATTATTATTATTATTATTATTATTATTATTATTATTATTAAAATCTGTGCCAAGCATGTGTTTCCATCATCTCAATTCAAGAACAACATGCTTTTTGGGTGAGGATGCAGATGAAAAATCCAAAACAAAACCCAAAGCAAGTTCAGTCCTTGATAGAATGGAACTGAAAAGTTAACCTACATTTGACTTGTTATTTTATCAACTTTGGGGCACCTGAAATGAATGCAAACAGCCTGTGGCAGAGCAGAGTTTTAGATACAAGAATGAACAGTATCAGAGTCCATGGAAGGCATTTGTGTGCCAGGCCCTGGAATGGGCGAATGCCGCCAACATTAACAATAATTTTTACATTAATTTGTTGTATTTCTATTCCATTAAGGGAAAAAATATGTATAAACCATTAAAGTAGCCAATGCTTTAAATTAAATAGCTGGAGCTAATCTTCAGCCCAGGTATAGCATGTTATTTCAAGCACTGACTGAATACCACTCCTGAAATATTGGTTCGCTATTTTCAGCTTGTGAGCTTTTATCATAATAATGGTGGGCAGTCCTTTCGCATGCCTAAGAAGAACCTCGAGTCCATCTCTGTGGGAAATAATGCAGTTAGTAACAGGACACACATTGTTTTCGGCCTTCTGTTGGCTGTTTTAAAAGTTCCACTTTGGAAACTGGAAATAGTATTTATTGGGATACAGGCTGCCGTGTATATGTGCATATACAATTCATCTGTGGAAGGTATGCATGTGCTCGTTCCTCCTGGTAGCTTCACATCTCTGCTCTTATAAAACCGTCAGTTTTTCTATTGAAGACCTGCCTGTTTTCCTAGAATTTCTCAGGAATGTTCCTCAGTGGTTGCGTTTATTGTTGAGATGGAATATGTGCTACATTTGGTTATATGCTGCAATCGGGTTCTTTTCCTGTGGGTTTGCTTTTGAATTACAGTGTGCTTTTAAAGCATTAAAGGGAGCTCTGGTTTGCAGCTACTTCTGAAATAAGGCCACCATGTGTGAGGGGCCCATATGGCAGCTTGCAGGACTCCTGTCTTGAAAGATGGAGTGGAAACCAAGGCAAGCAGGAATTTCATAGAATCATAGAGTTGGAAGAGACCACAAGGGCCATTGATGGGCGTACTTCTCCTGGCAACAGAGCCTTTGTTGCTTCCTGTGGGTGAGACTTAAGTCCACGAAGAACTTCAGCATTTCTGTCCTTTTCCACTGAAGACAAGGGGACACCTGCAAGTTGGTCACTCAGAAATAGGAAACAAGGACATTTATATGCTTGCGCTGAATGCTAATATACTGTTGCCAGATCTGTCCCACCATTTGGTGCTACCAGTTGCTATGGACTGAAGCTACTCTTCTACCAAACCAGTTTGCAAAGTATATGCCTGCTAATATCCTCCCTGCTTCATCAGTACGGTGGTACCTCGGTTGTTGAACGTAATCCATTCTGGAAGACAGTTCAGCTTCTGAAACGTTTGACAACTGAGGCACAAAGGGTTGGCTGCAAAGTCAGTGGAAAAAATTGAGAGAAAACGCAGAGGAAGCTGTTCAACTTCTGAGGCACATTCGAAAACGGAAGCAATTACTTCTGGGTTTTCGGCATTTGAAAACCAAAACGTTCAGCTTCCGAGCTGCTCAAAAACCGAGGTAAAAAAGGTAAAGGGACCCTGTATTAACTTCTGTGTTTTAGGAGCTGAGGGGGTAGAAACTGGAAAATTCCCAGTTCAATCACTCTGTTTCATCTGAACTGGGCAAAGTGGTTCAGGTGCCAGCCTAGTGCTTGAAAGTGGTGGCCGGCTGGATGTGAAACAATAGTTTTTATTTAAATTTATATACTGCCCTTCATCCAAAAATCACAGGGTGATTTATAGCATAAAAATACAAAATGAAAACACAAGATACATATTATCAGTGGGGTGATTTTCTGGAGGGAAGCAGGGGCACGCACACCCCTAAACATTTTGTGAATCTAAGTTTGGTCTCAATGAGGGGCAATATTTCAATATGAGTAGGAAAATGAGAGTACCCCTAAACATTTTTTTAGGAAAAAAAGTACTGCATAATATAATAATGAAACCATAAACAATACCCCCCAAAAAGAAACACATTTGCAAGCTACATTTTCACCTGGCATATCCTTACATATCTTTAGGTGCCAGGAGAGAGTATTCCACAAACAAGGAGCCACCGCAGAAAAGACCATTCTCATGTTGCCACCCTCAAGACCTCTCATGAGTGCAGGGTCCGGGTTGGTTCGTATGAAGAGAGACGGTCTTGAAGTATTACATTCCTGAGCTGTTAAAGACTTTATAGGTCAAAACCAGCACTTTGAATTTGGCCCAGAAACTCAATGGCAGCCAGTGCAGCTGGGTAGTTGGGCCAGGATTGGTTTAATATGCTCAAACCATCTTGCCCCTGTGGGCATCCTGGCTACTGAATTTTGCATCAACAGATGTTTGTGAACCATTTTCAGAGTCAGCTCCCATGTATAACATGTTGCAGTAATCTATCATAGATAGGCTTGCCACATGTCTGGAAAATTCCGGACATGCCAGGAAATTGGATGCCTAAAATGGCATCCTGGGGAAAATTTTGAATTTTAAGAGATGTCCAGAATTTCCCATATTTTCTGCTGAGCAGCGGAAGGAAAGTACCCCCTTATATGGGAGACCCAAAGCGTGCTTGCTTTTTGATAGACTCTGTGGAGACATACACTGAAAGTACAGTGGTACCTCTAGTTACCAACTTAATTCATTTGGAGGTCTGTTCTTAACCTGGAACTGTTCTTAACTAGAGGGGTGCTTTCACTAATGGGGCCTCTTGCTGCTGCTGTGCCGCCAGCACACGATTTCCGTTCTCATCCTGGGGCAAAGTTCTCATCTTGAGGTAACTCTTCCAGGTTAGCGGAGTTTGTAACCTGAGGCATTTGTAACTTGAGGTACCACTGTAAATCTTTTCTTCCTGACATGTAGGCTGCCTATGTACAAACCAAATAGAAAAAGGTGCATGGGAGGGGTTGAAGTTTATCCCATCCTGAATGTAGCTAACAGTAACTCATACATCAAGAATCCATGAGGCAAAACTGTAATGTTTGCATGTTTATTGCCCAGTCCAGATTCAGGTAGTGGAGCAACATATGTGACTCTAATTGATGCAACCTCAGCTTCCCATGAATATAAAATGAAAATGGTATTAGCAACCTACATCAAAGGTTTCTTGTGATACTTGAAACTGATAATAATGGTTAACTCAACCTTTCTCTTTTTGTGTGATATATTGACAATGTCTCAGAGACAAACTATGAGTTGACAAGCCTCTATATATACAGTACGCCAATTTGGCTAGCTCCTCTGCATTTGTTTCATAATGTAAACTTTCATACAGTGAAATGAAAACAGATGTGGGAGGGAGGGAGGATTCCATCAGTCAAGTTTCTGAACAGTGACCTTCAAAAATATATATGTAATGATTGTGTATTGGCAAGGGGGGGGCAAAGGTGCTCTGAGAAAGTTGTTTCTTCTATAATTCTGTGTTAGCGCTCTCCAAAGTTTCATATTTTTTAACAAGGATTACACTACACTGAATTTGTTGTCCCTAATGACCATTAAGAATGATGGAGGTTAGTACTCTACAATCTGACAGTATGTGATAATGACTAATACTTGTCATATATCCAAAATTATGCCGGGCCAAACATTTGTACACTAACCAATTTGGCAAGTATTTGCAATAGTAATAACTTTTACAATGCCAAGAAACAGCATTACTGTATTCAGTATGTTGTACTTTAAGAATAGTATGCTTGCATTATCAGTTCCTATCCGTATTGTCATAAACTATGCATTTGGATTTCTCTAATGTCATGAGCACAGCAAAGAATTAAGAGCACAGCAAAGAAAAGCATATTAATGATTTCCAATGATGATAGGTCTACACATTGTCCTGATTTTTTTCAGGCTGCCTCTCTGTGTGCCAAGATTTTTAACATTATATTATATTTTAACAAATATATTCTCAAACACAACATACTTAATTATTGTTTGTTTAGGTTTTAGGTAACAGTGCTGCTTCAGCTGTTGAACATGTAAGTTATTCTTGGTCACATCTGGAACATCTGCAGAGCGAGTTCCAATGGTTAGAAGATTGCTCATCGTAGAATACTCATTCATTTTAAAAAAGCAGATAGCTGGATATGTGACCACTTCTAGCTCTTTTCAGGTGATCAGTCTAGAGTAACAGGGTTTCATTTTTATTGTTGAAGCTGAACAAGACTGGCTCTAGAACAGGATGGATGGGAGACTACCTGTTAGCCATTTGTGCTCTCCTAGAATTGAAGTTATAAGTGTGACTGTGCAGGCAGAAGTAGCTGTGAGATTGGCTGATGAGTCTTTTCAGGACCAGGTCTATGGCAGTATTGGTTCTACGGTAGAGCCAGAAACGAAGTTTCTGAAAGAAAACAACTTGCTATGTGGTACAAGGAATCCTGTGGACAAGTCTACCTTCCAGCTCTTTCCACACCCATGTGCAGAGATTGCTGGGAGGCCAAGCCCAGTGAGGCCCAGGCAACTGCTTTAGTCTTTGGTATAACTCAACTGAGCTTAGTGGGGCAAGAATCATGCATTTCCCTATCCTACGCAGGTGGCGCTGTGGGTAAACCTCAGCGCCTAGGACTTTCGCATGGTCGGCGGTTCGAATCCCCGCAGCGGCGTGAGCTCCCGTCGTTCGGTCCCAGCTCCTGCCCAACTAGCAGTTCGAAAGCACCCTTAAGTGCAAGTAGATAAATAGGGACCGCTTTATAGCGGGAAGGTAAACGGCATTTCTGTGTGCTGCTCTGGTGCCGGTTCGCCAGAGCAGCTTCGTCACGCTGGCCACGTGACCCGGAAGTGTCTGCGGACAGCGCTGGCTCCCGGCCTCTAGAGTGAGATGAGCGCACAACCCTAGAGTCTGTCAAGACTGGCCCGTACAGGCAGGGGTACCTTTACCTTTATCCTATGCTAAGGGAGAAATTATTTTGCGTTATGTGGATTTGTGGGTTTTTGCATGGTGGCAGCCAACTCCTGGCTAACCAATACAGTGGTACCTCGGGTTACATACGCTTCAGGTTACATACACTTCAGGTTACATACGCTTCAGGTTACAGACTCCGCTAACCCAGAAATAGTGCTTCAGGTTAAGAACATTGCTTCAGGATGAGAACAGAAATGTGCTCCGGCGGCGCGGCAGCAGCAGGAGGCCCCATTAGCTAAAGTGGTGCTTCAGGTTAAGAACAGTTTCAGGTTAAGAATGGACCTCCGAAACAAATTAAGTACTTAACCCGAGGTACCACTGTATATGTTTTGAAAGCATAAAATTTTTCTGTGTCGGGCTGAATTAGTTTCTGATAGTGCATCGACTATAGTGTAGTGCAGGCATCCTCAAACTCGGCCCTCCAGCTGTTTTGGGACTACAGTTCCCATCATCCCTGACCACTGGTCCTGTTAGCTAGGGATGATGGGAGTTGTAGTCCCAAAACAGCTGGAGGGCCGAGTTTGGGGATGCCTGCTGCAGTGATTGTGAGGTTAGCACAGTTGGTTGGAGCATGGTGCTGAAAATCACAAGGTCGAAGGTTCGATCCCCATTTATGGACAGCTGCCTATTCCTGCCTGGCAGGGGGGTGGATCAGATGATACTCAGGGTCCCTTCCAACTCTACAATTCTTTGATTCTAGGTCTGGCTAAATGGATTCTGATAAACGTGCACAAATGAGAGTAGTTTTCATACTGTGAACAACAAACCTTAGTCATAGAGAGGAGAGGGTGGGGTGGTGGGGTGGAGCTGCCATTCTGACGCCAGTATCAGTGCTGCTTACCAGGGTCAGACTATGTGAATATACCAGCAAAAGTGCTATCCTGGTTCTGCCAGTACACCCATGCAGCCTGAACCTTACTACAAACCCAGCTAGCGGCAGCAAGGCCTGTGTCAGAAGGGCAGCTCTCTGGCACCATGCCAGCTTCTGTGTATCTGTTCAGAAAAGATGAGCCTAGGGAAGAAATGCATCCATTGTGCAGATGCTGATAAAAACAACTAAAGCTCTTAATCTTCTGAGCACTGAAAAATAAATAAAGGAAATACCGTCCACCACAAATGTCTCCAGCACAAGTTGCTTCCAAATGACTGGGGTTCCACGGGAGGATAATTGTGACATTGGTCCACCCTCACTGGATATATAATAGGATCAAACTAAATTCCATTGCTACCAATTCTGGCTGCTTAAGATCATGTGTTTGGTTTCAACAATGAATTCCAAAAGAGGGGTTTCTTGGGTTTGGTTGGTTGTGGTATATATATTAAGCTATGTAAAAGTAAAGAGAACACTTTGAATAAAACCTTTTTACAGTTTATTGTCTATTATTAAAATGTATAAAAATGAAGATTTGAATAACTGAGGGACATTAAATGGTGAAATTCTATCCGTGCAAACAAATAAATAGTTATTTACAGTCTTTGGCAAAACAGAATGTTAAGTCTTGTTGGCATCTTGTGCTTATCCACATATATTCTTTCTCCCCTCCCCACCATCTCTCTCTAACTCTCTCTCTCTCTCTCTCTCTCTCTCTCTCTCTCTCACACACACACACACACACACACATTCACACATACAAAGGAAAAAGGAAACAGTCATAAATAATTTACATAGTATAGGCAAATATGGTACAATCGAAATATTAACATCTTAGTCCCATCGCTGATGTCTTCTTTTTATTTGAAGGATACAATAAGCATTATTACATGAATGAAATTTCCCTCACTTCTCTCTGGGACTTGGGGCTACACTTTTAGAAATACTAAAAATATGAATTGCAAAAAAACAAAAACACTCTGAACAAGCTTTTTTTTAAAAAAAAAAAACCTCTCATTAAGAGGCCTTTTAAAAAGGTTGTTAATATGGCAAAACTAAGAATGTGCAATAAAGCCAGAAGCACTGGATTCTTGATAAAGGTATATAACATCAAAATCTATTCAGAAATTGGTTTGAAAACAGCTGACATTTGCTCACTGTATTCTCAAACAAGGCAGGAGATTGTTATCCCAAGCCCAAACCTGGCTGTGAATGCAGCAGCTGAGATGCTAATGTAGAAGCCTCAGCTACAGAAGCTGTCGCATTCATTCTGATGCAGTGGTAAGGACAGCCTTGAGCTTGAACTGCATCCTTTTGCATCCATGAAGATGCTTTGACAATTGTGTGACTGGAAGTACTCACCTGTGGCTGAATTCTTTTGCCACAGTCCTTCTTGAGACATCCACATGCATATCCCTGGCTGGCTGCAAAAGCTTCCACGCAATTCCCCAGCCTCACCAAGCAGCCAGGGCTTTAATACATATCTTAATGTGGATTCCCACATGGCAGCTGTTTGTGACAGAGAATGGATTCTGCCCCCTCCTGACTCCAGCCCAACAGCGGATTGGCAGGTTTCTAGATTCTTTTACACAGCTGCGCATGCACAACCCTCTTTTGCAATCCAGAGAGACGCATGCAGCAGAGTGCACAGAGGACTCAGCAACAAGGCCATTGTTCTCTTCTCTTAGTAATGCTCATCCACGAACAAAACCACACCAGCAAGTTTACCTCATGGGCAAAGTTCATTCAGTTTAAAATAACAAAAAAGAGTGTTAAATATGTGCATACTATTGTATAATGGAATAACTGTTGTATCTGGTTAGGATAAAGGCTGACATACCTTCAGCATTCTTTTCTTTAAAAGTCCTATATACAGCAGACATACGTAAAAAATAATAATACAAAAATGGTGGGCAATAGTAAATATCAAGGTTCCACTTAGAAGGTCTCGAGGGCTACTTAATTATTTGGCAATTTTCAGAGCAATTTAAGATTATTGTGACGTATAATTACATATATAACATATATTCACTGGTTGGACCATTAAAGGCATTATGTAGTCATCTCTTCTGTGAGTTCTTCCATGGCTAATGTGCTCTATGGCATGCTTTCAAATAAATTACTGGAGAACATAGCTGCGCATCGCAATAAATAAATAGCACCGACGTCCTTATAACTGGAACCGTAATATGTTACCAGATTTTGTTAATGGTAGCATTGCCACCTTATCAGAAACCTGGATCAAAGTTTGGGGTTTCAAAGTGCTTGCTGCGACAGCGTCAGGAAAAAGGTTTCACCTGGCCAGGAACCATTTTCATGGGACACCTTAAGCACGCTGCTGTTCATCAGGTCAATTAGTGCACATTTAAGTTCTCACCACTGCTTATCTTCCTAGACAAAATTCAAAGGGCTGATTGTACGCTTTACATGACAGCCACATTTTCTACTTTCCCACCCTCTGGGTTATAAGCAACCAAGTTTTACTCAGAGTAGACCCACTACAATGAATTAGTCGTGCCCGTCTATTAATTTCAGAATGTCTGCTCTGACTGTGACTACTAGCATGCATCTCCATGGCTCCCAATGCGCACTCATGGATAAAATGTCTCTAAACGCAATGGCCAAGCACCAGGAATCCCCCCATACAACCTTTCATAGTACACTGCATGGTATACAATGATATGCTGAGTGTGTCTTTGAGGCAAAGGGTGAATTCATATGGGAAAGGGGTCATCAAGTCGTTGAACCCATTTTATAAAAAGGAGCATCTACAAGCTTTGGCTGACATTCACAACCCCCCTCCCCAATTTATTACAGGGCAGTCCTAAAGTCACAAGAACAGCTCCAGAGTATAGGATGCTGAGCTTCATATAATGCCAGTTTCCTCCAGAGTGTAGCATATGAAGATGCCTCGTACAAAATCAGACCATTGGTCCATCTACATCCGTATTGTCTACACTGGTGGGTTGCTCACCAGTGACTCAGATGTCCTACCCAAAGATTCTGGGGCATGAACCTGGGATCTTTTGCATGTAACACACATGCTTTACCTCTGAGCTGCAGCACTTCCACTAGAAGTATTACTTTGGAGACATGCAAAATAAACATTTAATAATGTTGGGTTGTTGATGCAGCTTCCCTGCTCCACTCCCCACAAAATTATATGTGAGTAGGATACTAGATGCCTGCCAGCTCCTGCTCATGAGGTATCAAGATTCCCTGATATCCACATACTTTGAATGAACAACCCTGAAATAACTGGCATTTTAATTTGTATGCCCCCAGGAGAATAATTCCAAATTCACTTCTTTAAAACAGAATTGGATACAAGATCTAAAGAGCCCCATTGGATGTTAAGCTGTCGTCGTTCTCTCTGCAGCCTGCTCACGTGCTAGTATTTGTCATTAGAAGAGAAGCATTATTTTAAACTTCAAGCATGTGGCTTACCTAAAAAGCTGTTAGAAGATTAGTAACATTTGAAGTTTGTGGAGCCATCTTCTTGGGTGGCCGTTGCCTTAGTTTTCCATGGCTTCTTAAATGAGTAGGATATTTAGGGTTTGGTCCTTCTCAGTTTTGATGAACTATATCTCCCAGATTTTGTATCACCAAGGCCCAGCCCTGATCTGAGCAAGTAATGTGGCCTGAAGAAGTGGTCTTACAACCTCTTCCTCCCTCTTGATGTAATAATACCCCCCTCACATTCTTCCATATCTATATCCATATAAATACATTATGTAATTACACTTTTACACTTTATATGTAAACGTCATTTTAAAAACAACAACAACAACCCTAAACAAATGACTGAATAAATGTGTCTGCCAAGTTTTCACTCTATACATCAATCAGTTTTTGCTTCTGTGGTGGGTTTGATGGTCACATTCAGGCCCTGTCAGTCCAAGCTCTTAGAAGGCACTGGGGTGTAGAATCGGAGGGATCTCTCCTGGCTGCAGGGAGGCACAAGGTCTGGGGAACATGCCAGAGTTGAAAAATAAGTGAGGGATTTGGAGTACCAGGATGAACAGAGGTGTCTAGTTGAACGGCATCTACAGTACTTTGCTGGTTTTGCAGCAGCTTTACCTCAGACATCTGCAACAGAAAGAAGCAATTGCTAAGTACAATTCCCACATTTGGATTGCATTGCAGTAAACATGGGGGGGGGAGTTACTTGTGTTTGGACATTTAAAGCTTTTATCCCATCTTTCGAAAAGCAAACTATTATAATGCAATAAATATGCACAGTAAAAATCAGGTAAAAACCAATGGGTTCCAATGGGCTGTTACTTCTCCCATTTGCATCTTGCCCTTCTGTCAAGGAATGCAGAGCAGCCTGCACAGCATTGTCTCGTTATTCTTACAACAATACTGTGATGTAAGTTGAGCTAAGAGATAGTGACTTGCCCCAGGGTCACCCAAATTAATGATTGTACTGAAATTTGAACCCGGGTCTCCCAAGTCTGAGACTCTACTCTCACCACTACATTGTCCCTTGCTACTTGTGTAACTCCAGTCCTTCGGCCCATACTGCTAGCTACAGATTATATGGTTGATTCTCCGGTCTCGGGTTGCTGACGGACCCAAGGTGATCACAACAAGAGCACCACCACCATGCAAATATATGGTAAACAATTCAGAAATTGGTCCCCAAATGCATATTTGGGTTAAAGGTGGGTCCTGGGTCTGAAAAGGTTGAGGATGCCTAAGTTAATGATGGTCAGGGAAAATGCTTAGCCTTATGTCATAGGTCATATTTGCTTGGGGGGGAACCTCACATATGAGGAGTGGCACATGCAAGTCAGGTTGCCTAATGCATGGAATCTGGCTCTGATTATGACAATTAATTATGCTCAATGCTTTTTCGGGGGGGACAAAGGGGTACGCACACCCCTAAACATTTTGTAAATCTAAGTTTGGCCTCATTGAGGGGCAGTATTTCAATATGAGTAGGAAAATGATAGTACCCCTAAACATTTTTTTTGGGGGGGGAGCACTGATTATGCTTGCTCTAGCCTCAAGCTGGATACACACAATTGCTATTAATTGCTATACACATTTGCTATTAAGAAAGCTGTCCCACTGAATCCATTTTCATTCATAATGTAGATACATATATAAAAGATTGTTTAATAAAAGGAATCAAAGGCACTCAGAAGGTTGCTTCACAAATACATGGCCAACACTTGATACTGCAAAATCGGATGACCTGCAAGTTTGAATGAGCCATAAAAACATAAGACCCTGCTGGATCAGGTCCATGGTCCCTCCCATTGAAAAAGTCTGCAACCCCCCTGCAAACACTAAAGTAGTTATTGCCATTATGATGATGGATGCATTAACTTACCTTTGCATTCATACTTGAGGTCAGAGAAGTAAACCATCTCTTGTGAAAAGACAAAAAGACCTAATCGCCCACCAGCATAGGTTTTGTCATAGATTGGTCCAGAGTCTGCCATGACCTGCTTTCCTTCGTACACTAAAACCCTTTGAAAGGGGAACAAAGTCTAGATTAGACACCGTTCTTGAAATGATACACTTTCTTTCTAGTGGCAGTAAAAGCTCTAATAAGAAAAACAAAGTGACATCAGATTCACACCCAGGTTTCTAGAGTATACAACTTCTACCTATCTAACACACAGTCTGCTCAAACACTCCTCACAGAAGTAGTTTTATGGACACATCTGAAAAAGATTTCCCAGTTCTGATTTAGGCCAGCCAAGTCCAATGAAGTGAATCTATTCTGAGGAGGGGTAAGATGCATATTCTGTTGGAAGCTGCTCAGACTGGCTTCCAACATTGTTGTTGTCATGCACACAAGTTGAAGAAACAACTCCATAGTCTTGAGGTCTCGTTGTGCACTGTGTGATCTCTGACAGCTGATATTATTGTGCATTTCAGCTGAAATTGCTAAATATTCCATAATACATTAGCCTGTTTTCAGAAAGAAATATTCCCACTAACCTCAGACAGTTAATGGTTGGGCTTATGCAATGAAATAAGTGGTATACGTGTTCTATTTCAAAGCCCTAGGTTTTGTTGAGAACATAATTATTAGGATTTGTTTGTGGCACTGCTTTCTAGATGTGAGAGCATGGGAAAATATAGCTGTTAAAGAAGGGCTAATTGAATGTGAGAGAAACTCGCAGAAATATATATATATATATATATATATATATTCCTGCCAGAGAATGGTTATACCACGACAGACTTTAACACCAACCCAGAGAATGTTACCATGCTTGAGCCACATTAAAAGTCAGCCATGATTAACTTAAGTTTCACTAACTCCAAAAGGTCATAGGGATGACAAATTTTCCTGGGAACTGGCTGTCCATACTTGTGTATTCTGGGTGCTGTGTGACTCATGGAGATTGGATGCACATCAGAACGCATCTGGTGTGCATCTGACTTCTGAAAAATGCTCAATTATTCTTAAGAGTCAAATTAGAGTGCAAAAACCTACTTGAATTAACAAATGTTACAAGTTTAAAGGTTCTGGATAAGCAACTGTTCAGCAGTGCCAAGAACAGATGGAAGCCTTGCATCTGGCTGTGTGTGAATGATGATCCAGCTATAACCTGGAGAAGTTGAGTTTCTGCTGTATCCTTATGCGGTTATATGCCCAATAAGTTATATCTTACAACCAGTTGAGAAATCTTCTCTTATATCCTCAAACAATATAGCTAAATCCAGGAAGTAGGCTGGTGTGCTGTATGGCTACATATTCATCCAGAACGACAACAGCTATATTGGGCTAGACCAATCTAACTAGGTTCCCATCTTCAACCGCAGACCGCAAGAGCTAACAGCCACTCATATGTGCCCTACAGGTTCTTTTAAGGTGCCAAGATATTTAACCAGAGCCATAATTATATTTTATGTGGTTGCCCAGGCGGGCACATCATGTGACCCATGACAGCGGCAAAACAAGAGGACTATACAATGGCAATGGGATAAAATCAGGCCAAATCTTTAATTGACAACAGCAGGCAGGGCAAAGGGTTGGCTTGGTATTAGGTCCCATGATCCCTTCATCATTCCACATGCCCCATGTTGATGGAATGGATCCACTGGGTTTGGATCTCTCCAAACCTGTACCATGGGTGTTGGCCAGGGTTAAACCTTGCCATGGTGCAAGTCAAGCAAGCAAGTTCTCACTGGGGGACCAGGATGCAGTTTCCAACCAGGCAGATACCAAACCCACGATTAGGTTTGCTGCGGTCAATCCTCCCCACAGGCCCCTTATGGGCCCCCTCCCATATACTATGTTGATCCTGACCAATGCCATTTCCGCACTCAAACAAAGTTCTTCCACCTAACAAGGAAGCCATAATTTCACTGAGGGAAAGGAGGGGAAAAACCCAACCAAGTGCCAATCAGGTTGAGAAGGGTGGGAGGAATTCATTTCCAGCTCTGTTAACCAGCGGCCCAAAATTGCTCAGTGAAGGCTCTAACACGAGGGTGTGCGGGCAGGAAGCTCTCAAAGCAAAGTGGCTCTTGTGCTCCAGGGGAAGCAGCCTTATATAGGCTTCCCCTCCTCTCTGCAGCAAGAGCTCATGGGGCAGCTTTTTCCTATGATGAGACCATTGCAGAGAGAGGATTTGCCCAGTATTTTGCTGCAATCTATGGGCTACAGCACTGCCGGGCAAATGTGCTTATTGGGCACAGAACGGGGTATATAGCATAAGAAGAAGAGTTTGGATTTGATATCCCACTTTATCACTACCCTAAGGAGTTTCAAAGCAGCTAACATTCTCCTTTCCCTTCCTCCCCCACAACAAACACTCTGTGAGGTGAGTGGGGCTGAGAGACTTCAAGGAAGTGTGACTGGCCCAAGGTCACCCAGCAGCTTCATGTGGAGGAGCAGAGACGCGAACCCGGTTCCCCAGATTACGAGACTACCGCTCTTAACCACTACACCGCACTGGCTCTCAAGGGCTCTCTAGTGGGAAATGAGAAAATTACCTGTTTAAATGCCCCCCATGTAAAAAGCTCCCGACATGTACAGATGCCAGGCAAAACATTCCTCTTCTCCCAGTCTTTTGGCTAATTAAACAATACATGGCCTTTTAAACGGGGGGGGGGGGGGGAGGTGCTTTAGTGGTTGTTTGTTACTATGTTATATATTTTTGTGCTTTTATATTGTAAATCACAAAGGCCCAAACTATATACTATTTCTTAAAAACTTGAATTTGCCTAAAGGACCCATACGACTGAGTTTACCAATGACAAGAACGTCTGTTTTATTTACTGAATAGGCATATTGCCTGCACCATTCTCACACAATGTCACATTTGCATGGGAGTCCTGACACTGCAGGCATTTTATCATGAAAAAAACATATGAGAATGGGGGTATTTCACTGAAATAATTTGTGTGAATAAATGGCTGCATGTCTGCATTTAAGTTAAGACTGGCTTCAGATGGACAAATCAGAGCTAACATCACAAGTCTACGAAAATATTTAGAGTTGCCTTAATCTCAATTCCCTTTAGTTCTAAGAAGGAGGAAATCAGTTCTTCCAATCTTAATTTTAGCTTTGTTTTGACATTTTCCTTTTTTTTTTCCAAAATTCAGATTAGTACAGAAAAACAGTCCAAAAATTTGGAGGTATCATTTTTTTATCTAATAATGGCAGTGTTTATATGAGCCATTTGAAGGAAATTGAACACATCTGATGGCGTGGAAAGCTGGGGAACACTCCCAAATCTTCCAGTGCCGAAAGTCTGCCATAAATGAAGTGACAGTGCTGGAATTTGGTTACAAACCACTAAATAAAACCTCATTTATGATCAGATGGAAAAGCAATACAGTGTATTACAAGAAATGTCATACTTTATTAATCCCGTCTTAGGCCTGTGGACCAAATGCCACCTGTAAGCGGTGTAATCTTTCCAGCCGATATTCTTGGGGTCGTGCCACAAGGTGCGTACCTGTGGAAGAAGTTAAAAAACAACAACACTTCAATGAGTGATTTGCATTAACAAGTGGGGCAAATCCAATTCCTATAAACTCTGTCTTTTAGATAGAAACCACAACCCACATTTTAAATGCGCTGCCATAGTTTCTATGCCCCCCTCCAGTTTGGTCAGTTAATATGAGATATTCATTCTGCAGCTTTCCCAGCTAAATGCTGTTGTGATTAGACAGGGAGCAGAGGGAGTGTTGCATATTTTGGGTAGCTGTAAAGGGTGCACTGTCTTTCTACACAAAGGGATCCCTGGGCTGCTCAGGGTTGGATGTAAAAAACCCATTTGGCAAAAGTATTCCCAAGTGCAGTACAGTGTTACCTCAGAAGTCGAACGGAATCCATTCCGGAAGTCCGTTCAGCTTCCAAAATGTTCGGAAACCAAAGCACAGCTTCCGATTGGCTGCAGGAAACTCCTGCAGCCAATAAGAAGCCGTGGAAGCCACCCAGAACATTTGGGTTCCAAAAAACGTTCGTAAACCGGAACACTCATTTCCAGGTTTGCGGTGTTTGGGACCCAAAACATTAGACTTGCAAGGCGTTCGTGATCCAAGGCACCAAACTGTACTTTCTCCTGCAAAGAGCAAGGGACAACAATTCACTAATACGGGAGAAAATAATTGGACACAGGGTCACTATTGAAGTCAAACCTGGAGGTGGAGGCTTCTTGGGTGGGGCAGTTTAATCCCGGCCAAAAGTTTCCAAGACAATATCCAATTAAAAAGAAATAGAATGAAATAAAAACTTGGCCATTGATTGATCATGATAATGAAAGATAGGACCAAAACAATGGTTTCCAATGCTATGTCATGATGGTATATGAGAAGGGGACAATTTGAAGAACACTTAGCTTATTGTGACTCATATACCTCTTACCTGTCCAGGTGTGTTTCCTGTATGCCAAAGGGCATTTCTCAAATGTTCGCCAGTGCCAGTTGTAGAGTTCACTACTTTAAGTGATACCCCTGAGTAACCATAAGCTCTGGTGGGCTTGTCCTCCCAATATGTCTGAGAAATTTGTTTCCACATCAGGACATAGAAGCGACTGCTGGACTGGTAGCCAAAGACAAACCCAGCATAGTCATCATCCCGGTCTGTGTTGACGTAGAACGTACCACTGAAGTCAACAGAACTGAACTCATCATAACCTGGAGGAGGGTAGAAAATGTAGGTGTTCAGTTCCCAAAGGGATTGCAGCTTGTTGAGAATTTGGGCAGAAAGAAGCTAGATTATCCATTTAGTCTCAGGCACTTGCCATTACTTTCTATTATGATGCTATTTGATTTGGTTCACCCCTTTTTTTCTCCAGTCATATTATCAGTTCTTTGGTTTCTAGGCTTCATCAATCACTACCCTTTCTGTTACTTCATACTTGCTTTATAATGAAATCATTTTTAAATAGGCATATTTATTGATGCACACATGGACCTTGATATAGGAAGGACCTTCACATTTTTCAGTTCAGTTCTACAGCCATGAAAAACAAAACTTCAAAATATTTAAAAAGAAAAAAATGACAGTTACAGAATGCTTTTGAAATGCTTGTATACCACATGCAAGAGCAATATTATGGGTTATGTCCCACAGCCTGATGCAGAAAGATTAATACATTCCATCCAGTCATATATATATATATATATATATATATATATATATATATATATTCCAATGTAAATCATCTATGAATGCTGACTTGTTATTAGGCAGCTCTTTATTATTGCCAAACATTCCTCAGAAGTTATCTGTGCTTCCAACTTTTCCAAATCCATTTCGGAATGTTAACTTTAGAAAGAGATTCTTAAACTGAACATATAAACTGCCTCAAATATTTCAGCTTCTTCTGATCAGCAGCTCGGACAATCTAATTTCTAGCTAATAGTTGTGCACAATTCGGAGAACCATGTGGCTAATTTCATGCATTCTGTCAGGTTCTGAATTTGCAGTGTTTAACCTACGGCCCCAACATCACACAAGGCAGATGTGTTTCAAAAGCAGTTTATAATCTGTTTCAAGAAAACAAAGTCCAAAAAGCTACTGGGTTTATGGACGCCCTTGTGAAACACTAAACTCTGTCCTCTTGGTGTAATTCTGTTCATATCATCAATTTGAATCATACTCACCTACAGCTATGCCAGGATCTGAGTTAGCCGTCTGTACCAGTTCTTTGCCCTGATGTCGAATAACCCAATTTGGGTCAATCTGAGCTGTTCCTTTAGGATCCAATGGGACCATCTGGAACTTTCTGAAATCGGTTTCACTAATGGCATCATTTTCAGGACAAACATCAAAAATATCTGGGACTTTGTCATTGTCAAAGTCATCTTTGCAGATGTCACCTCGGCCATCACCTAAAATGCACACAAAACATTGAATGGTTTTCACGTTATATTCACACATCTCTCTTTCTGTAGGAAGAAGCCATGTTCGACAGGAAGGAAGGAAGCAGCCATGCCATCTTCTCTAGACAACAGAATCAAATTTAAGGGAAGAAGAGCTACCATCTTCCATTCCAGGGGAATGGAATGGATAGCGCAGTGGGTGAGTTGCAAGGGACCTTGGTGGGTGACTACTCCAACCTTCCGTGCAAGATGGGATCTGCATTGCAGACAGGACTGTGCAAATCTGGGGATGGGCCAAGGCCATCTGGGAAATCAGTTGCTGACAAAAACAAATGACTTCCATATAACCTAACAAGCCAGGAGAACCACAATATTAAAAAGGAGCTTTGGAATTTTAAAACTCCATATTATCTCCATGTCATCAGATGCCTTCAGCATTGTTCTGTCATGAATACTTAAGACTGTGACCATGTACTTTTGTCACATCTGTAGCAAATGAGTGAAGAAGGCATTACAGTAAATCATATTAAAACAGCTCTTGGCTACTCTTTATTTATGAGAGACTGTGTGAGAGAGGGAGGGAGGGAGAGCAGTGATAAGCTATGGGATAAATAATCATTTTTTCCCCTAAAACTTGGAATGTGGCTATAATGAAATCTTGAGTGATTAATGTAGTATTTAAGGCAGAGCCATTCAAGTGAACAGAGACTGCAGCCACCAGATCTGCTATAAGGAAGCCCTGATGTTGGCAATGTGGTAAATACTTTGCAAGCTGTGTGTCCTAGAATGTAATATTTATATTGGTTTGGGTTAAAGAGTTATTTGGGTTGAAGAACAGTAGACATTCAAATAAATGTCAAAACAACAAAACTGAAATGTCACAAATATGTTTTCTGTGTTCACAGACAACATGCAAATCCTGTTCCACAAGTCCTTTTTAAAGGCGCACACACACATTCTACAACATTTTCCCCAAACTTTTTCTTTGATAAGGAAATACAATTTCTGTGTTTCTCTCCAATCATGAGGACACTAAGCTTGGGGGGGGGAGGAATGATGAGAATCTCAGCCAATTATGTTTATGCAGATTCACTTATTGTTGTCTGCATTCATTTCTCTTATCAGTAGAGACTCATACCACATGTTTCGCAGGCATGTTTCATTAGAACACTGTCTCTCTACTCCAATCTTCTATTCTAATCCTCAAGGACAGACTTTGTTATGGAACTGCCAAAAAAGTTTTTTTAAAAAAATACAGAGTCAAGCATCTCAGATGCTTTTTGTAGTTCATCTCTGTGAGAAAATGGCTCCACATTCCACGGACTGACTGGCTGGCTGGTTGCCAAGTTGAACTCCAAATTCTGACCAGCTGTATGCTCCTGAACGTGTTTATCTTTACACTTAAGGGGGAAAGTGTATGTTCCCAGTTTTATTCTCTTGCCAACATCAAAGAAGCAATTTCTTTGTCCAAATGAGGTTTTAATTTTTCACCACATGTTTCTTACGTTCCCTGTGGTGCTGATTGCTGACAAGGCTGTTTTTTCATCAAAAAGTTTAGAAAGCATCTGCCCCACCAGCCATGAGCACAGGCTCCTTGGAGGTCTGCTCTGTGAAAGATGGCTGTTCAGGACACAGTAAAATTCTGCCTTATTTCTTGACCCTACATTCAAATGACACTGTGGGGTATCCGTCACAGAACAGCTAACTGGTGAGAAATCTAAACTCCACCTGCTCTGTGTGATTAGAGACGTAACTGGGCAGACTACGTAAGTGGGCAGGATCTGCTGTGGTATTAACCTGAGAGCCAGTGTTGTGTACTGTCTGCTAAGGAGCAGGAAGAGCCAGATTCAAATTCTCCACTCAGCTATGAGGTCACTGGATGACCTTGAGGCAGCTGGCTTATGGATTGGCTCACTCGTTTTCAAAGCACTACTTTCAAATATATTAAAACTATTTAGTAAGATTACTCCAGGCAGAAAACCCTCATAAAGATTTCAGCAAAAGGATGTGTTTGGGTGTACCTTTGATGAGCTAAGGGATGCTAAACATATTCTTGCATAACTATTTGACTTTTAGAAGACATCTGAAGGCAGCCCTGTTCAGGGAAGTTTTTAATGGTTGTTGTTTTATTGTGTTTTTAATATTTTGTTGGGAGCCGCCCAGAGTGGCTGAGGCAACCCAATCAGATGGGTGGCTAATAATAGTAATAATAATAATAACAACAATAATAATGCTAATTTTATTAGTCATCTCACTTCAGTACTCTGTTCAAGCTATAATTCTTTGCAGAAGTTATTAATCCCAGTTTTCTTTCTTAGCTTCTCAAAGAATATTTTATGAAGATGTCTCATAAACAACCTGTACGAATGTTTTTCATTACAGTACAGTATTGTCAGATTCTACTACGAAGGGATGCTCTGAGCATCACAAAGCAGTCATGGCCTTCCTGCTTGACCACCTACAAAATCAACTTGCTAATGCCATTGCGCTTAAAAGAAGTACACCATTAAAAGGAGACCACCTGTGAATTCTCCAGACCTAGGAATACTTTCAGAACTGGATGCAACACTACAGGCATGCCAGCAGCTGGGTGCAAACACACCTGGACAGACTCATCTGTGATAGAAAGAAGTCAAACTTTGATCAGCTTTCCAACACATATGCCAAGCCAGTAGCAGATGCTATGGTAGGGCTGCACTGCTGACCACTCCCTGTGGATGAGTCACTGCTGCAAACCAAGATGGAGATACAAGATGGAGATGCAAATACACTGGCTGAGCCAACCTGGCATTTCTGCTGGCACGTTTTCACTAGGCCAACCTCGCTGCCACCTCCCCTGTCCTGCTTTCAGTCCCAGTACGCAGCAATGATTCAGCTGGAGAGAGATCAAGGGCACCACACCATCTACTGCTGGGCTCAGCTTGGATTGAGAGGACCATCTTTAGTCTTCACTCAAGAAACCCCTAAGTCTATGGTACTAACAAATCTACTATGGCATAAGCTTTCATGGACTGCAGCAGGGAAGGTGGGCTTCTGGCCCTCTAGATGTTGTCAGCTTCCAATTCCCAGCAACCTCAGCCAGCATGGTAGAGATGATGTGATTTGTAGTCTAGCATCATCTGGAGGGGAATAGATTCTCCATCCCTGGGACACACCATCGTATGCCTGAAGGAGACTGTAGTCCACAAAAGGATATGCCACAGTATATGTCTTTAAAGTGCCCATAGTCTTACCATCGGAATCCTTCTGGTCAGGGTTGTATGTGAGTCGGCAGTTGTCCCGGTCATCTGGGATGCCATCGTTGTCATCATCAGAATCGCAAGCATCCCCTTTACCATCTTTGTCATGGTCAGCCTGATTGGCATTGGAAATGTACGGACAATTGTCTTTGTTATTCTGGTGGCCATCTTCATCTATGTCTTGATTGTTGTCACACTGATCACCAACCAGGTCATTGTCCACATCAGTCTAAAGGTGGGGACAGGAAACAAGATTTGAATTTTTGCAACAGTGAACCAAAAAAAGGCGGGGGAAACACATGATCACACTGTTAATGGTTCCCTTCAGAAATGTTAATGTATAATGAAGGCAATCTGAAAAGTAATATTCTATAAACATACTGAGATATCCCAAACTTGCAAAATAGATTCTTATTTCAGATTCCTCATTTAAATCTACTGACTCTTAAGCCGATACCCTTAATTACTTACTTACTTTTATTTATCTGTTGTATTTATATCCGACTGCAGGAAGCAGTGGAAGACGGGAGAGCCTGGCGTGCTCTGGTCCATGGGGTCACAAAGAGTCGGACACTACTAAACAACAAATTTATATCCCACCTATAGCCCTAAAAGCAAACAAATGCAAGCCCATAGCATCCCTCCAATTTTAATGGAAGGAGGAAATGTGTCATTTATCAGAAGTTTGGAAAGCATGGTTTCTACGTGATTTATTGCATAGAACAGAGGCTGGCTAAGCTGAATAAGTGGATTACCAGTGGACTTCCGGGGAGGCACCTCCAGCAATGGCGGAATTCCTCTGACCGGGAGGAATCCGCTCCGTGGGAATCTGGGTCTGGCCGCCGCGGCAAAGGCGGAGACCCGTTAAAATCACAGGCGGGAGAAGCCTGTGAACGTGGGATTCAGCGGGCACCTTTTGCGCCTCCCCCACACTGCGGGGAACCCCGTTTTTTGGGGCTCCGGAGCGATGTGGGGTGAGCGGCGCGGTGCATCGAATCGTCTGCTTCTTCCACGGAGCGAAGCCGCATAGCTGTTGCCGGAGAGCGCTGACCTTTTCCTGTGGACAATTTGACTTTAAAGTAATTACCCGTGAGTAGAGCTGAAGCAGAAGAATTGGATTTCTAAATGTTTAATTTGGTATTGTAACGGGGAGGTTCAAAACAGGAAGTCCGCCTTCCCCTTTTGTAAATAGACTGAGGCAATGAAGCTGCAAGCTGGAGTCTTGGAAGGTCTTTTGTAAAAGATCAAATTTCCAACGGTAAAAAACATTAAACCCCCTCTTGGAGGCAGCAGAAGAGAGGGAGAAGTTGCGGATTTAGTATGCCTGCGGGAGAGAGCGAAGAGACTTAAAACACCGCCGCTCTGACCCTGGAAACGGGCTGCTAGTAGGACTGACGTCTTTTGGAATGTTCATTGACAGCGCTTAGAACGTTCATTGACAGCTAGTTAAATAAGAGAAATACATTGTTTCTACTGTCTCCGGCTGCTTTAAAAAGGAGTAAAAGTAACTCAAAATTGAAACTAATTTGAAACTAACTTTGGATTGTTTAAAAGATTGGATTGTTTGGATTGTTTAATATTGACTATTACAAATAGAAACTGTTTTCCCCTAGTGGAAGCCTTTGAAACTGGTTGCTTTACAAGAGTTGGACTAGGGGAATTTCCAGCTGCAAGTTAAAAACCGTGAGACTCTGGGACTGACCTTGAATCTTTCAAATGTTATGGTAAATGGAAGAGGAAAAACAGACCAGTCAACTGCTGACAAAACAATAAGGTCTGGGAGGACTTGGTAACAATCCAGGAGAGGTCTATCATTAGGCCCTCCTGGTTTTTTTTGTTTTTTTTGTTTTGTTGCTGTCTTTGTACTAGTATATTTGAAACCAAGAGGAATGTCGACAGAAGAGGCTTTGGTGGCTGTATTATAGAAGATAAATGGCTCATTGGATCAGCTTCACAGGAAAATGGACATGATAAATGCGAAAGTGGATGTTTCAATTACTGAGGTTGACTTGAATGCAGGGAGTATGGATAATACCAATACAGAAACCACCCAGAAATTGATACAAGAACCTACTTTGATATGGCAAGCTGTGGAGGAAGTAAGGGAAAAAGCTGTTGCTGCTGAAGGTAAAGTAACACAACTGGAGAGAAAGAGAAAGAGCCCCAGCCCTACAGAGGCAATTTGATGAACATAAGTTGACGCTCACTATGACTGAACTTAAGGAAAAACAGACGAATATGAGGATTAGAGTTCACCTTTGGTGGACATGCCCAAGGATTAAGACACTCTGGGAGATGATTCATAATGAAATGAAAAAGGTATTTAAATATACCCTTTTGAAGAAACCAGAGGCCTTTCTCCTGGGCATGGTCGGCCAATTGGTGTTAAAGAAGGATAGAATTTGTTTCATGTATGCAACAATAGCAGCAAGAATACTCATTGTGAAGTACTGGAAGACACAAGATTTATCCATTCGGGAAGAATGGCAGATGAAGTTGATGGACTATATGGAATTGGCGGAAACGACTGGCAGAAATCCGAGACCAGGGAGAAGAGCTGGTGGAAGAAGACTGGGAAAAGTTTAAGACTATTTATAGAAATACTGTAAAAATAATGAATGTTAGAAAAATGTTGGAATGAAGTTATATGGCTTTAGTAGAAATGCTATAAGGAATCAAGTATAAATAAATTAATAGTGTATTAAAGGGAAAATAAGGCTAGAATATGTTAAGATAATTATAGGATAGAAAACAGAGGAAGATGGAAAGGAATTGCTGAAATAATTAATAGAAGTGGAAAACAGAAAGGGAAGTGTGAGGAGGTCGTGGAAATAAGGGAACGAAAGATAAGACATTGAAATTGTTCTGTGTTTGAAATGGTTTGTGTCATGCTTTGTTAGTTTTACGTTTTCTTTTTTTCTTTTTTTTGTTCTTTCTTTTTTTGTCTTTCTGTTTTGTTGTGTTTAAATGGTTGAAAATTAATAAATATTATTTTTTTTAAAAAAAGTGGATTATCAGGGTAGGTGGCAGTATGCTTGAAGAGATGTTTTCTAACTGATCTTTAACTCATACAATTTTTCCAACATTAATTCTTCCAGAATCGTGGTCTTTTCTCTCTTTTTTGCATCTGTTTTCATACTGTAAGCATTTGGCATCTGCCCCCAAAGTATCTGTTAGGAAGAGTGCAAGATGAAAATGCAATGCAGGCATTTTAATGAATGAAATTGGTGCCAACACACAGGAAGACCTTTGACGTCCTCAACAGATCTCAGTTCTAGCCTTAGGCCCCTTTGTAAGATTTTGCAGATGAGAAAAGTGGCGCTGCTCTCGTGAGAAACTTCTTTTGCCTAGGCAGCATTCTTATGTTATGAGTGACTGCTGTTGACCTCAGCTGCTTTCAGGGTTTTTATGTATATATATGCCCCGAGAAGCCAACGGCAATAACTTTGCGCAATTAGAAATTCCAGACCATTCATCCAAATCAAAGGCAAAGCTGTTGTGTCAGAGCTTTGAAAACTTGAAAAGCTGCGCTCCTTCTTTTTTAAAATAACCTAGGCATTCAATTTACCTCAAACCATGCAGTTTGCCACCAACATTTGCCTTTAATATAAACATGTGCCCTGTGACTGAACAGAACCATATTAATTCTACGTAAACTGGGTGGTTTCCCCTCCCACTTCCCGAATAGAATTACAAGTAAGTCTAGAACGTAGCATTTCTGAAATGCAAAGCTGGAAAGCCCATTGTGGTCTGGGAGTTGTGTTACCCATTTTAAAATGCCTGGTGGGCCAAATAAAAAAAAGCCCATGCATATACATAATCTCTCCCAGAGGCACACAGTTTGTTTCACACATAAATGTCATGTGCTCCCCACCTTCTCCTTCATCAGAACCAACCTGGCGAGAAACTAGTGACAATCAGAAAGAGGCAATCTCTTATATATATTGAGGCTTAATTGAGAAAGGGAAACGGGTGACACTGTGGTTGGTCTAAACCACTGAACCTCTTGGGCTTGCTGATTAGAAGGTTGACAGTTCGAATCCCCGTGACAGGGTGAGCTCCCGTTGCTCTGTCTCAGCTTCTGCCAGCCTAGCAGTTCAAAAGCACACCACTGCGAGTAGATAAATAGGTACCGCTGTGGTGGGAATTTCTGTGCGCTCTGGTTTCTGTCACGGTGTTCCGTTGCGCCAGAAGCTGTTTAGTCATGCTGGCCACATGACCCGGAAAGCTGTCTGTGGACAAACACTGGCTCCCTGAAAGTGAGATGAACATCACAACCCCATAGTCAAGTTTGACTGGACTTAACCATCCAGGGGTCCTTTACCTTTTTTTTTACCATTAATTGAGAAAATAGCAGGAGATGTTCCTGGGGTGAAACTGGGAGTCAGAGTTTCTGAGTTGACATGCACAGGATTCTAGTGGTGGATGACTTGGAACTGAATGTGTGAGCTGCCTCCATTGAAAATATTGCAGGCTGGGAGTGGAATCTCCACATGTGGTGTTGGATGTATGATGTCACACATACAAGTCATCACCTCACAGGGTTGTTGCTGAATGCATGTATGAACCTGCACTCAAACTAGCAGACTCCCTGTTAGGAAGAGGGATGGAAGACTATTCATGAACGAAAGCTCTCCTTTATTCTTGCTTTCCTGCATCTTGAAACAATCTACCCCCTAAAGCATATAATTGGAACACTGAGTATCTCTGCAATAACAAAAACCTTCTTTACCCCTAAATCCAACCAGGTATGAATTTAGATCTTGAAAAGGGAAGAAAGGAACAACAAGCCTTGCTGAAATATCCCTCAAAGCAGGCAAAAGGCAGCCTGTCTTAATAGTACACAGTACAGTGTAGTGGTACCTCTACAAGGGTGAAGGCAGAGGTTCTTCACATCCATACAGTCCCCCCTTGTATGTGCTACTTACCTGATCAGGATTGTGCACCAGTGGGCAGTTATCGCAGTGATCACCAACTCCGTCTCCGTCTGTATCTCTCTGGTCTGTGTTGTAGACATATGGGCAGTTATCGCGTTCATTGAAAACATCTGCCAGGATGGGGAAAAAGCAATTCAAACAAAAGTGTTATGTTCAGATTCCACTTGCATAAAGCAACATGCACTGGTTTCCAAGAAACTAGCACAACCATGAATGAGAATTTCCCCCATTTTATTCTCAGTGGAAACTAAGTGCGTCCAAGAGACAGTGATGGGACCATGGTCACCCAGTGAGCTTTTGTATTTAAGCCTGATCTCTCCATGCTAGGTGGCACACATTGTATCTTGAACTGATAGCACTACTGCTTTGTCCTTTGCTTGTTAACTGGGGTGCGCTTGTCTTGCTGTGCCTTCCCTAAATTACAACCCCTTTTATACAAGGCTACAAATACTATAAAGTCTGTAGGGTTGTACTAGCTGATCCCATGGTTGGTGAAATACTTTTAGAGTGGATCTTTCCCTAATTCAGCTCTGTGGTGACCCCTCTCTGCCCAACTCTTGGTCACATAAAAGCTTTGCCTGACACATTTTCTGGTGATGGTGAGAAGGTAAGAACAAAACCACCCTGTTTTGTGACAAATCAATTGATGACCTATCAGCTTCCATTCTCAATTGAAGGTAGTTGATTCATCCAGACCTTTCAAGATAGGGCAGTCCAACTTTTCAGATTTTATCCAATAGTGAATGGGAGAGAGCAGTACTCTGATAGGCAGCTTATGAAACAACTTGGACCAAGGCAAACAGTTTTCTGAAGCAGCAAAATGAGGTCTGATCCAAATCTTGTGGTTTGTGCAGTCCCCTAGTATATTTTTATTGTTTGAACTCTGTGTAAACAGTCCAGAGCAATCTGTTGATTAGGCGGTCAACAAATGTCCTAAATCAATACTATAAAATTTACTATGAAATGTATCCCCTGAGCTGACCTGAGGTTTATGCAGTTTTGTTTTAGATTTCAGATTTCATTTATTTTTTAGTAATAAAAGTTTTTGCTGATTCTTACAATATTTGCAGGAGACGAGAAGAAAACCCTTTCCAGGAATACTGGTTTATTTATTTATTTATTTATTTATTTTTGCAATGATATATATTTTGATTGTAAGCTGCCTTGGATATTTAGATATGTCTAAATAAATAACCACGAGTGTTAATGGAAACTCCATACTATGGAAAACCTTCAAGGGTTTTAGATATCTACTGATACACACATCCAACACTTTACACATTTATTGAATCAAATCTGAGGCTTAACAGGGGTTTTTTCTCCAGTGCTGAAAACTGGGATTCATCTGCCAGGAAATGCAGCAGCAACGTCCCTCTAAGGACACTGAAGCTTCTGCTTCCAAGTCATGCCAAAAACCACAAGCCTAGAGGCATTCCAAAAACACCAAAGATATTTAGGTTGGTAGGTTTTTTCAGTACTGGGCTACTGTTCAGGTCAGGTTTGCCAGTTTAATAACCTGAAATGTCACTGTTGGTTTTTTCCTCCTTCCTGAGCCAAAAATGTAACTTGGGATCCTTATTATTCTAGCATCCAAAAGAAATTTCCTTTTTTCTCCCAAGGCGTTTTGGCAAACACATTGGGTGAAGACATTTGATTTGGCTGGCAGTTCAAGTGTGGCTCTTCATGCGAGCATATTTGACAGCATAAATAATTAGAAAGAATATGGGTATTGCTGGGCCATAATTTTCATTACTTTTGAAATTATTATATCAAGTGAATGTTATATTCTTAAAAATGGGACATGGGTTCTTAAAGAGTACCTCTCCCATTATAAGATCATTAAAGACTTGTCAGAGAGACTATGCAAATAGTCCATTCTGTTCCAGAACTGGTTTGAAGAAATGGCAAAAACTTTACCATGAAATTATTTGCCCAGTAAACCCCACCAAACCATAAGTTTTAGGTACACCACTAAGATTTCATTTAATTAAGAAATCCTTCATAGACATAACTGGTGGTTGAAAATGCTTGCCCTAACCTACATATAGGAGGGGTGTTTAAAATGAGAGTCATCATAGCGTCCTCCTTTTTGCAAATGAGGCAACCCTATCCTTTGCCTTCAATGCATGGATTTATTTGATAGAGTTGTTCACAAGGGTGAGGGCAATAGCTTATTTTGAACCAGTTTCTCCCACGTTGAACAGAAACAAAATATATGAGAATGAATAAGAATTTACCATCGCCATCAATATCCACCGCACATGCATCACCCTCTCCATTATTGTCGGTGTCAATCTGAGCAGGATTGTGCACATAGGGGCAATTATCGCAGCGGTCACCAACTTCATCCTTGTCATAATCAAATTGACGAGGATTAAAAATAAGGGGGCAGTTGTCCTAAAAAAGGAAAAAGATTAAAGAAAAGAGGTGTAAGCATAGCTCAGAGACCATTATATTTCCAATCAACCTTTTCCCTTTCTGTAAATCAAATAGCATACACCTACTGGGGTTCCCAAGGGTTTCATGTAAATACTGCTAATAATAGTAAATTAGCATCAAATTAGGCATATGTAAGACTATCACTCTCTGACACACTCTGCTAGAGTCAATGTCTTTCAACCTTTCCCCATATGAATACGACAAGCCAACAAAACAGCTGTAAAAATCCCATAGAGTGCACCATTCTTTGAGAATTTCTGTTGGTCTGAAATGTGGAACATGTAATGATCAGCGACATCTGTAAGCAATAGTGGTATCCCAAATGGTACAGTTTAAATTCTGATATCTGACAACAGACGTAGAGAAATGAGAATGCAGCAAATATACCAACAACTTCTTAATGGTGTCCATATTTATTTCTTCTGAAAGGAGAAGATGGGTTAATGAAAACAAGCTTACTTTATCATCCTCAACACCATCGTTATCATCATCCTCGTCACAGGCGTCTCCCTTTCCATCTTTATCGAAGTCTTCTTGTCCAGAATTAGGCAGAAGAGGACAGTTATCCTATAAAAACAGACAACCCCAGATTGGCACATGCTTCTATTTCACAAATTGATAATAATGCCAAACTCTGACTAAATGTTTGTATGCCCCTCCGGAGACCAAAATACGGCACTGGGCGAATTCAAAATGGGAATTTTGAAGTCTTTTCTAAAGTCAACATGCATATGTATCCAATTAATTTTCACACACTTTTAGGCAGCCTTTGGTTTGTGTTGGATTATATTGCTAAAGTGGAATGATATCCGATGATGGTTACCACCTTATATTTTTGCTAGATTGCTTTAAAGGAAAGCATTTAACCTTTATTAAATCAACATATGTACTACAAAAATAATGGGTTTGGCTTTTGGGAAGAACCTCCCCTAAATGAATTCCGCATGTTTGAGTTTTGTTTTTTGTCTTTCAATGAAAGCAGTTCTTGATTCTACTTGAATCAAATGAAGTACGTCCTGGTGACAGGAACCAAAAAGAAAGAAAGAAAGAAGCATATATGCTGAGCTGGTCACATTAACAAATGAGCAGACATTAGCCAGGGCTGAAAGAATTTGACATCTCAATTGTATGCTCAAGGAACATTTAATACTCCCTCCCTGTTCATGGAAAAGCAGGAAAAGAGAAATCCATTCCTAGATCCATCCCCCAGTCTTATAAAGTCACATTCGGCTTCAAGTTACAAGCATTTCTCGCAGTTTAAAGTAAGGCACAAAATTCTGGTTTGTTTCAATTCACTTGCTGTTGGGGTGTGATATACTTTGGTGCTGTATTGTTTTTGACGGTTTGATAAAGGTTGCCTTCAGCACTTACTCATCTGCTTTTCACTGGTTTATTTGGTTAACTTGTTGAGAGGGTATGTTATCAGTAACCTGACTAACCCATACTTTGTGATGAAAGGATGGTGTACCAAGGTGACAGAAGCACAGCCCTTGCATGAAGCAATGAGATGCCCTGAGACCTCCGGGTATTGGGCAGTATATAAATAATAATAATAATAATAATAATAATAATAATAGATTGTGCATTCAGCTATTTCAGTAGAATGACCCTGATTCTGACATGTCTATCCAGTCATATCTTTTTGATGGATCATAAGAGGAATATAATTTTTGTAGACTAGGAGCCCAAAATGAACAGATTCTCTAACTGAGAGACCTAGCAACCTTGGAAAAATATTCATTTCAACAGTGGCCTAACAAATCGTTCAGAAAATGATGGTCACTGGAGGCTATCACTAGACTTGCCCTTCATTAACTGCCCTTCATTGAGACATTTATGTGTTTCCATTTCTTCTTACTTACTTTTATGCAGTGATAAGTTGCATTGGCAGCACAGACCAAGTTATGATTGGGCCATCCATCCAGGTCAGAATCTTCACCACAAATGAATCCATCACCAGCATAGCCTGTCCTACATTCACACTTGTACATGGGGTCACTGAAATGCCCAAGGTAGATGCACTCGGCTGACCTGTGACAGTTGTGTGTCTTGTCTTTGCAAGGATTGGCAGGTTCACATACCTGAAAAAGCAAATCATAATCATTCAGACCATGCTTCTGTAGGGGCATAAGGGTACTGCAGGTCTGGGGCTAAATTAAGCTAAGTTAACTGCAGCACTACACCCCAGCTAAATTGGAGGAGGAGACAGTGATGCTTTGATGCAAGGTATCCCATTTTATTTTCTCTAAATAAATGTATTATGAGCTACAGGGACATGAGCTTGTTTATTATATATCTGCTTTGATGTCATCCTCATCATAGCAAGTTACAATACTTGAAAAGAATTCGCAGGATGCTTTCTGCAGTACAGGTGACTTTAGGAACAGGACAATATATGGTGGCTGGGACCAGGAAAACCTGCCTGGAATGGCTGGGACCACAACAGTATCTGTGGGTGAGAATTGTGCTAACAACACAAGAGAAGAGATGCTTTGGATGGCAAGACCTACTCAGTTCCACATAGAGCTGGAAAAACCATTCAAAGGCAAATTTGAATTCAGCTAAGTTGGCCAAAAATGTCTGTTTTTCAAATACCTCATTTTAAACAGTTTTCAGTACCGATAGTCAAGCATGCAACACGCTACCCTCAAATGACACATGAAGCATCCAAAATATCTGATTATTCAGAAGAGTAGATAAACAGCAGTTTTAGTTTCCCATAATATTGTTGAGCTTTGAGCCACACATCCTTTAGCTGGGCTCAGATTTAACAACCTTTTATTAAAATCCTGGGCAGAGCCTCAAGGAACATTTCCTTGCTGACTGAGCTAATTAGCTGCACACGTTTGTCAATACAGTAATTATGAATAATGCTTTATTTAACTAAAGAGTCGCCTTAAGCAGAATTTTACATTACTTCACAAAATTCTCTTACATCTGCTGATTCTGGATGTCATTAACTAACGTAAATCAACCCCACCCATTTCCTTTGCAGAAGTTTCAGGATGTAGCACCAAACCAGCTATTTAGCTGCCTCTGGGTTTTTTGTTTTTGTTTTTACATAGAGAGACAGCCTAATGGACTGTGGTTTCTTTTCCACAAGTCCTGACTGGTACTTCTGTATTGCTATTGTTTTGATTGACAGCTTTGCTAGAGTAGTTTAACATTAACGGATGTTTCACATTTAGACTTCACAAACCATGTCAGCCAGAACACGGAGAACTATGAAGGGACTGAGTAAAACCCAATGAAACTATTTTAAAATGAGGGTGGGGCATGTCTTTTTATCAAATCTAATTTAGTTGCATTTTCTCGTGTTCACTGAATAAAGATCTCCCCAAAGTGACCTATTTCATACAGAGTGTGTCAAACAATCCCTTTTGTGCTGGTTCTCAAGTGCAATGCATTAAGAATATGTTAGTGAAGAACCTGTGGCTGAAGGGCTAACATAAGAACAGGCTTTCTGGATCAGACCATAGACCCATCTGCTCCAGCATTTTGTTCTCACAAGATGAGCATGAGAAGCCCAGAAACAGAACAGGAGCATGAGAGCACTCTCCCTGTTTGTGTTCAGTCAGAGAGGCATATTGCCTTTGTTACTGGGGATAATGTATAGCTATCACAACACAAGTTAGCGGCCATCACTACATCCTGTGCTATATGAAGAATTAATCCCTTTCCTCTTGTGCACTGTTACACCTTCTTGGCCCTTTTCAATTGGCCCTCATCTTTTTTTTTTAATATAAAGAAATGACTTTTGAGATCAATTTATTAAAAAGTTTGGAGTGGTTTTGAATGTCAGGTTTCCAATCTAAAGGGTACATTATAAACATGCAAGTTGCACTCTTGCTCATTTCGAGATGCTCCAGGACAATGAAGTCTTTAGGACTGATACTTCATCACCCTCTTTGTGCCATACTTTTATAGCAGATGTATCACATTTTCCATCCCGTTACTGGCCTTCTTTCAACAGCACTTACTTGTTTTTCTTTCTTGGCAGCCTCTAGGCCCACCCCATAAGGCTGACTTCCTTTGTAGCGAGGAGGGCATGGCAAGCAATGGAATCCAGGATTGGTGTTTACACAACGGTGGTTCTGATTTAACTTAAAGCAAACGTCTGGCACTACTGCACACTGCAAAAAACAAAGACACACACACAACCAGAAAGAAGTATTGAGTTATATCACTGAGGAACCTCCAACGAAGTTGGCTAAGTGTTTCCATTGGGTGGGGTAAAAGCAGCATTTCTGTATGAACCAAAACTGTGCGTACCTCATCAAGGTCTTCACAGACTGTTCCGTTTCCAAGGTAACCAGCAGGACATGCACCACAGGACCAAGAACCATCTGGGAAGCTGTTGCATTCTGCTCCGGGAAAGCAAGGGTTTGACAAACAACCATCTGCCAAAGCAAGGGGAAAGAGCATTAATTGTGTCAGTACTAAGCCAATCTCCTTATCTGAATATAGAGGAAACAGCTTTACATCATTTCTATATTAAATCTCCCCACCCACTTCGAAGCAACTGTATTAAAAATTACTACAAATATATTTTATACCAGTCCCAGATAGACGATGCCAAAAGGACAAGTTGTATACGAAGGCACAGCAGTAAGGATGGAGTATGTCTGAAACTGCCTAGCTCAAAATGTCTACTCCAGACTGGAAGCCACTCTCCAGTGCCTTTCTTAGCACTCTCAGCCAAGATCCTTTTAACTGAAGATGGCAGTGACTGAATCTCAGAGGAGGAATTCAATATAGCATTAAGGAAATTGTTCTGTCAGGCTTGTGCTAGAGGAGCAATCTCTCCTCTCCTTCCCCTGTGCACTGTTCTTCTGACACACACATCCCAAGCCAATCGGGAGTGGGGAGAAAGCCCCATTGTGCTGGCAAAAGTCCTTGTGTGAGCTTCCACAAGCAAGACCCATTAGTTGAACCCAGCCCAAAGTCTGCTGCATACAAATCCTATGTTCTGCCACTGTGCAGTTGCTGCTCCAAAAATCTTAGGCTGATTTAGCAGAATGGTTTGGAGTACCAGATCCCATGTGAGGCATGAAGTATACTTGGGTATCTTTGTTTAAAACACAGCTAACTATCCACACTCCACACTCACCTATTGGACAATCCTGTTTGTTGCACATATCATGCTGTATGACATCTCCCATACATGCCTTTCCACCATACTGAGGCTCTGGGCTGTTGCAGAGACGAGATCTTTCCCGAATGCCTCCGCCACAGGTAACAGTGCATGCAGACCAAGGAGACCAAGGGCTCCATCGACCATTGACTGGAGTTGGACAGACAACAGGAAAAATTAGTATGGGCAAACACAGTACAGTCAAGAAAACAAAACACTGACAGCACAGAGTGGTGTCATTCAGTGATGTCAAGAGGTTATTTCACCTGGCCACTTCACTAGTACAATGAATACAAATTGTCTTTCTGGTCTAGTCAAGGAACCTGAAAAGAATCTGCTCAAATTGAAAATCTGCTCAAATTGCAAACTCTTTTTTGGCCATAATCCACAATCCTCCTACTCAGAAGTACCCCATTCACTTCAATGGGGTAACTAAAACAAAAGGGTTATAGATGGCAGCCTCTTCAGTCCCCTGAATCCAATAAGACAACTGGCAGTCCGGAAGGAAAATGCAGTGCAAGAAAGAATGCATATTTTTGCTCATATAGTAATCTATCCCAGCTTTCTCTCCACATGACTTTGCCCATGCATATATACAAATACATGCAACAAATCTGAATTATGTCATTTTCATATAAAAGACTCTGGGTGTGATTTTGCAAGTGGGATTCAGATGCACCCTGGCAAATTCAGATTGCACAATCAAAGTAGATTTGATGCTCTTGCACAACAAATCTGCTTTACCCTCACATCCAACCCCACCCCAAAAAAACCCCAATACATTTTGCAGTACAGAAATCAATGGAGGAAAGATCTGGAAGACGTTCTTATATAGCCTCCTAATCAGAATGAATGCTCACTATAAAGCTGACATTGTCTCACCTCCCTGCAAACTGTAGGTGAACAAATCAGGAAGAATGATCAACAAATAGGTTGTGAAGAAGCAATTAGTAGTTGAAAGGTAGATATCAGTTTTTGAAAACATTGCACATCCTCAGGCTATAGCAGTTTCAGCCCCTTTTCATTGAAGTAAAGATAATAGGAACATGCAAATTTCATGACAGAGACTGAGGTTCTTCTATTTGAATTTCATTACTGGTTAAATATGGAACTGTAGATTTCACTCTCCTGCTAGAACATGCTTTTCATGTAGATGTTGTTAAACTCAAATAATGAGAATAATGTTAGGCTTCCACTATAGAACATCAATTGTAGAACACCTACACTATCCAATATAAGCCTAGGAAACCTCTGAACAAATAGTGGACACCTACATAGGTGAGTTCCATTGATTTCAGTGGGTCTTACTGTCTCGTAAATGTGCACAGAAATGCAGCCTAAGTCTAGTAGAATGTTATGATATCCTATTCAGTAGTGGACCACATGGTGGGGCACCATCAGTCACCTGACTTCTGCATTGCTACCTCTTACCAGGAATGGGAGGCAGTAGAGTGAGTTGATCTGGTGTTCTCACTGGTGCATTTCCACCATGCCAACTCATGCTTTCCCCCTCTACCTCCTGGTAGACCAGAGGTCAGATGAGTGATGCCACCACACCACCTGTTACATAATTTATTTATTGCCTTGCACAGCAACCAGCTTTCCAGAAGGGGTACTTTGAAAAGTGAGTAAAAAGTTGCCCGTTCAAGGCAGACCCTCTAAAATAGTGTGTTGGAAAGTTCTACTGCCATAGATTCCTTTATGGCATGCATACTTTTTATCACTTTGTCTGAAGAGCCAGGTTGATGTGGATTCAGTATAACAAAGCCCCAGTTGCTGATCCCAAATGTATAGGATAGGTTCTTTCAGCTTGAGTAATGTTAACATCTAGACTGCAGCCTTTGTGGAGCCAGTGTGGTGTAGTGGTTAAGAGCGGTAATCTCTTAATCTGGGGAACCGGGTTCGCGTCTCCGCTCCTCCACATGCAGCTGCTGGGTGACCTTGGGCCAGTCACACTTCTTTGAAGTCTCTCGGCCCCACTCACCTCACAGAGTGTTTGTTGTGGGGGAGGAAGGGAAAGGAGAATGTTAGCCGCTTTGAGACTCCTAAAGGGGAGTGAAAGGCGGGATATCAAATCCAAACTCTTCTTCTTCTTCTTACCAGAGGCTGAGAATTCAAACCAAAACACTTACTCGGACATGGGACTCCTTCACATTCTTTTGTTTCCCTTCCGCTTCCTTTGCAGCCTTTCCCACCCATCTGCGGGATGGGGGAATTGCAGAGACGTATGCGAGTTATGTTGCCTACCCCGCAGGTCACAGAACAGGAAGACCAAGGGGACCAGTGGCTCCAACCGCCATCTTGTCGTACTGATCAAGGAGAGAAAAAGAATCACAGTTCAAGGCCCTGTCCCTAAATCCTCAAAGGCTCTAATGGAAATTCCCCTTTAATGCCTAGCAACGTAAGGAAAACTGTATCTGCAGTACAAATACCAATGGCAGCTGTGATTATCTGACAGTCCACACCAACTTTCAGCCATGTCTATCAGTGTCAAAGTGGCCATACGTTTACTGCCCCCATGTGCTAACCATAGCTGGATATGTGGGCCACAAAGAGCAGTGTCCTCACCTGTCAATTATCTATTATCTACCTCTTTGCCTTGTGGGTAAGGGGAGTAGTTCAGGTCACATCTTAACATCTGATGAATCTAAAAAAAAATGTCACACAGGCGCTTTCATGTGTGGATGTGTTTCTTTTGCATACAAGATTGATTCCAGGTGAGTGGCATTTGCTTGTTTGAGAAGCAAAGGAGAAGTTACAAAGATAAAAGCTTGACATTACAAACACTCACTGCGATTGTCGCATTTCCCGAGGGAACAGGTTCTTGTTTGAATGGAGGGCCCTCGGCAAGTATTGCTGGTGACATCGCATGACCTTCCTCGCTGCTGGGTTCCAGATCCACAAGTGACAGAGCATTCTGTCCATTCAGACCAGGGTGACCAGCCTTCTTCACTGTCGTCAGCTGCAAATCAGAAGAATCATAGAGGTGCCCTGAATTGTCTTGTTCACAGTCTGCTGGAATTTGCAGATACATTAGGGAGCCAAAAAAAAGCCAAAACAAACAGGTGAACCAGTGCATCTGTTGGGTTAGCTCTTCAAAGCTTAAGCCCATATACAGCCTGAAGCACTGAATAGACACAGCCCAACCAGCAACACATTATTATTGCTGGCATTGTTTGTCTTACACATCACCATCAAAGCATATTGTCCATTTGGTCTGTAAAGCTATGTGCTCCAATAGTGTTCTGTGTTGGGGCTGCTCACAAGTATTCAAATTCTGGACAATTGTCAAGAAATGAGCAAAATACTCAAACATCACATTCCAACCTCACTGCCACTTTGTTTACGAAATTTATGGGGCAAACAATTTGATAAGTTTCAGCTCTCAGGACCTCTTGACGTGGCTACTAGTGGCTGCCAAAACCTCAGTTGCCCCCAAATGGAAAACCTTACAGGACTTGTGACATTCGCTTTAGTATAATAATATGTGGATTTTAGCATTAACTGAAAAAAAGAACTCATAAATTACATGTTGCCAAAGGCTTGATGGACCCTGGAAAAATTCTATGTGGTTTGGTGGGAATTTATCTTATATACAACTAAGGTAGACACAAAGGACTCCCTCTGCACAGTGCAATGTGATATGTAGATTTCCTAATGGTCTTAAGTACTATACCAACTTAATAGTAAGTCTCTGCCAGATATACTGTGTTGCTTTTTTGTACCTTTTTTTTTTTATTTACTTCAATAACATCTTCTTTTTAAGTGTCCCATTTGAAAATTTGCTCTCCACATGCAAATCTCTCTCCTCTCTGAGAGAAAGGTAGTTTCTCAAGGCTTCTCACTGATATACTTGGTTTGTATAATGCAACGTGAGCATCACACAGGAGTAAACTGGCAACCTCTTCCCCTTGTAAAAACTGAAGTAGGAAATCCCTGTATGAAGATGATCACTTCAATGTGGACTACAGCTCCCATCAGCCCTGACTCCTGGCCATGCTGGCTGAGGCTGATGGGAGTTACAGTTCAGCAATAACTGGAGGGTCACAGGTTCCCCATCCCTGCCTTAGCATAACGGCAACCATCCCAGAATTCAGAAACCTTGCACCTCTCTCCTGGTCCTCCTTCTGTCATATGTTATTCCCTGTGGTAGTTTCATCAAATGAAGAAAATTATGCAGGTGGCAAGACATTCAGGGATCACCCAAGCAGTAACAGCACATAGTGTATAGCTAGTTAAGCGTGCAACACTAACTTAGGAAGTCTAGCTGGAATCATCTGCAGCCTTGCTCTTTGTAGACCCAGCAAGAGGTATTCAAGCTGAGACTTCCCTACTATGCAAGCTTTTAACAATAAGCTATGCTTGCATGCCATACTTACAGTGAGAGCAGACAGGGCAGCACTCGCCATCAATAAAAGTGGGGCTGACACAGTGAACAGCTGGGCATGTGATTTTATTGCATATCGTTTTAGAGTTCTGTATGTGCAAAGGGGGGAAAAAACACATGGAACCATTACTCCAATATCAGTCAATCTAAATACCCTATCTTTTGGCAGGACATTCTTCAAATGAAGGAAAAAGTAATATAATCATAGAATTGCAGAGCTGGGAGGGATCCAAGGGTTCTCCAGACCAACCCTCTGCAAGGCAAAATGTTCATTGCAGGAATTATGCTTGAGTACCTAAGTTTGCTTATTGACAAAAAATGCACATCAAAAAGTGCAACTGGCACCATGCTATTTTCCATCAGAGACTTATGCAGCTGACAATATGAGATGCCACACAGAAGAACGGGCTATATCATCCTGTAGTCAATCAATAATAAAGTTTGTAGTTTTGCATCAGTGACAGCAGGTGGGCCAAACTGTACAGCTGCATCCCCTTTAGGGTTGATGACACCAGATTTAGTTAGTGGTGCAGCAGGGTCCTGGCTACTAAAGGCCAAGGAATTCAACATAGGGTGAAGTGAGCAGATTTCCATCTGCACAATGGGAATTGCCCTTCTTCGCCACTCTGCAGCTCCTTACATTCCTCCCAAATCTGCTCTGGAGGGTTATGGAAGAGGAAGGGGAAATCCCATTGCGTGAGTGTCTGCTCCACTGATGTATTGATTCAACCCCAAGAATATGTGGCCATCCATCATAACAGTTTATCAAAGGCAACCTGCCAAATAAATAATAATAATAATAATAAATTGAAATTACAGGGCAGTGCAAAGCCCAACAGAAAGAGATTGATGCCTATTAAAATAGCCCATTACAGTGGTACCTTGGTTCCCAAATGGCTTGGCTCCTGAACAAATCGACTCCCGAATGTCGCAAACCCAGAAGTAAGTGTTCCAGTTTGCAAAAGTTTTTTTGGAAGCCGAATGTCCGTTTCAACTGTTGGCATTGTTTCTGGGGCCAATCAGCCAATCAGAAGCCGCGCCTTGGTTTGCGAACATTTTGGAAATCAAACAGACTTCCAGAACGGATTGATTTTGGGAACCAAGGTACTCCTGATTGGATGCAGAGCTGAAAAAAAAACTCCGTGTGATTGGGTGGGGAAGAGTAAATGATTCATTGATGCCTTACCTGGCAGTGACATTTTGTGCAGCTGTCCACAACCCAATGCGAATTATTCATAAACTCACGGCCATCTTGCCAACAAGCCGACTGGTTCTTGAGTGTTTTGTTGGGGCCAAGCAGTTCCGACACAATTTTCTCATTCACCTCAGACTGTACAATGAAACAGATAGCATCAGTAGCGATGAGTTGGCCTTTTTGCAATGCACCATAGTCAGAGAAGGGTGAAACTCTCACTAACCCTCAGCATAGAAAGCTAGGCTGCTCAGAACAGATTCCTTCTTTCACCCAGCTAAACTGAGCCAGAAAAGAAGCAAACAATTCAGTGAGTGCACTATTCCTCTGGGCGCAAACGCCCCAGCTAATGTTACAATCTGGGCTTGCAGCGCTTACACAGATCTCCATAAATTCTACTGAAGAGATTGTCTTCCAGTATCACTCATCTTCCTTAAAATGGAAGATGATTTCACTCTTGAGACATGTGCTAGACTACTTCAGGTCTATTTCAAATATGTGAAGTTGATTCATAACACAGACTGAAGCAGACAATGGAACAAAAGCCAGACAATGACAAACAAGGCACATTCATGTATTTTCTATATGATTTGTCAGGGTACCTGCATATACATTAACACTGCGCAATGATCAGGGCTGGCCTGATGACTTCATGAGGTGGGGTGAAGCAGCCACCTCAGAAGGTGGGAGCCCCTGAAGGCACCCCACCTGCCCCACCACTTCCATCACTGGCAGAGAAGTGGCGTGCAGCATCAGTGCTGATTTGCTGTGAGATCTCACCAAATCTTGTGAGATCTCACAGAGCACAAGAGATTTGGTGATTTTCAGTGAACTCTCATGAGATCTCACTGGATATTGATGCTGCTGTCGATGCTGCTTCTCTGCCAGTGGCAGTGGCGCACTGCAGCAGGCACGTTCCATGTCACCTCAAGTGGCAAAATGGGACATGCCACCCCTGGCAGTGGTAGTATGTGCAACACACAAATACTTTAAGGATTAACCACCAAGAGGCTTTCCAGGGACTACGGTTTTCCAGGAGATGGGTAGGCATGGAACTGGGTAGGGGGTCATTCATCCTTTCCTCATCTGCCCCTGTGATGTTGTCCCAGAAGGCACAGCTACCTACCGGCAAGTCCCTGCGTCCCAGTAATCAGACTCCTAAATGCAGTTGCTGGAATGCAATATTTGCACCAGCAAGTGCAACAGTACCCTGCATGTGGTGGAGAGGGCAGTTTTGCCAGTGTCACACAGGTATCTAGATGGTGCCAAATCACCTGGCGCTAACCTAACCACACCATTTGAGCACGGAGGCAAATCTGGTCCTCTCAATTGTCACCCTCTCTCTCCACCCCCCAAAACCCTGGGGCCTGTGTGTTCATCCTTTCTCTGGCAACTAGAACAAAATATCATCCAGCTGTCTCCCACGACAAAGTATTGTCTTAGCAGCATCAAGGCTGTCCTTAATGTGGTTCACACGAATCATTCCATGTGCTGAAAAAACATATGGAAGCTGGTTGCGGAGCCCAGCAGTCTAGCCCATCATTGCCATACTCTATGGATGTCTGCTTATTCAACAGACGACAGAAGTTCTCCCCGCCTACAGATGTAAGCTGTTATGGCTGCTTCTCGTGGGCAGGGACCCTGCCCAATGAAGGTCCCCCTCCTTGCATGGCTGAGATCTACCCGTGTACATTGGTACCCACATATAACACCTTGCAATGTCTTTCAACTTGTGTGTTGGGCAGCACACAAACATACTCAAAGCCCCAGCAGGCTAACTGGCTGAAGATTGCTAACTGATTGTTGGGTGGGGGGAGAATGGAAAGCTGAGGGAGAGAGAATGGAGTGGAACATCCTCAAGAAGGGCATGGCTGGATGGCTGGAACCTAGAACAGAAGCCACTCCCCCCTTTCACAGCACTCAGAATTTTCTACCTAGTGTGTCCTCCTATAACATGGGAAGCCCCTGAGGTGACATCAGAACTAATACACCACCCCACTATTCTCAGACAATTTTTAATACAATACTTTGGTATGTTTCCAACATGTATAAGTGTTCTCTTTATCAATGCCTGGTAGATACCCAAACAAAGGGTTTATTGTAGTGCCAGTGACTTGACTGTTCATTTGTTGCTGCTAATCTTGAGGAGCAATTGGTGCAAATGAATGACCAGACATCTAGAGCAGAACACACTGGTGATACCTACCACTTTTTCTAACTTTTCTGTTAAGCTGTTGACAACAATGCGCAGTCCAGTGAGTTCCGTAAACATAGACCCTAGCTCTTCACAAGAGCGATCACAGAATTCTGCCTTTTTCTCTGTGTTTTCACCAACATACTCTGTCATGACAGAAGGAAGGTGAAGGATCTCAGTGCTCTCGTTGATCGTGTTCACTTCAGCTGGAAGGGAGGAAGTAAAATAAAACCCATTACATATATGCAACAGCTTTTCCCTGATTACAACTTTTGGCTCAAATTATACATTGGTACTAAAGGTGGATTGTAACTGTATCTCTCTTGGAGCAAGTTTGATGCCAAATTATACTCAAGGGTATAACAGAAGGATTGGATGTTGGCCCCTTCCAATTATAGTCATTCCTTTTCACAGTTTAGATTCAAGCTCTCAAAGAGGTCTGCAGGTTTAGAACCCCTAGAACAGATTTAGGGGAAAACAGGGGAAGGAAAGCAGGAAACATTCCACTTTTCAAGGAGAAATCTTTGCACTGACGGAAGGAGAGACTTAGCACTACATTGGCTTCCACCCACTGGGACCTACTTCTGAGTAAGCATGTAGGCTTGATCTGCACATCATACCTCACATATTTTCACTAAAACTGATGTTCCTTAGGTACCCTCAAGAAACACTAAAGCAGCCATATGTTTAGTGGTAGTGAACAGAATATAAACTTATTTACCAAACCCCATTGCATTATAAAAGCCTCGTTCGCAGTAAGGATTACCAGGACCACACAAACATGTGGTCTCCCAGAGAAGAGCTCATAGCTACCTTGCTGATCCCTGGTCTTTTTTACCCCTGCACTTTGCTGAGCTAAAACAAGGTTTGGCTTAGCATGTTGGGCAAACCCAGGATCATAGTTTAGCTCTCTCCTTGCAAGCTATGAGCTGCAGCTAAGAATAAACCTTGATGGTACCTTGGGCTTAGTGAGGAGAGAGCTTAACCACAAGTCCTGGTTCAGAAAACACAGGATGCTTAGTTCATCACAGTGTGGGATGAGGAACAAAAAAGACCAGGAAGCAGCCGAGAGCTCGTCTTGAGGAGCCTACACATTCATGTAGCCATAGTTTATAAGCCATAGTTTAGCTTACCATATCATGCAAACCATGGCAAAGTCATTCTATTTTTCACTATTACAAGAAGGGGAGGAACCCACTCGAGGGTGGCCCTTAAAACTTGCTCATAAATCTGTCACTCTATTCCTTTGCTTGTACTATCAATGGCACGGTAACAAAAATAATCGAAGAAGGTCATGATCTGACTTAGATGTATTAATGTAAATCAGGAATGATTCCAGGACAGCAAATAATACTATAAAGCATTCTAAGGGCAGAACTGCATATTAGATCTGAAAATAAACAAAGACATAGAAATACAGCTAAAGAATCAACAAAAAACTTTGGGCAGGGAAATGATTAATTGCTGCTAATGGAGCTAATCAATCTAAACATGGTGACAACAGTTAAGTAAACATTTTCCAAAAGTTTATAATGAATTGTTTCCAGAGCTAAGAACTTTAAATATCTTGGCTGTAGACCGGAAACCCTAAAAATGCAACACAGCACAATAAAGTAATTTATCATAAAATGCCACTTGTTTGAGTGTCATCTTGACTCAATGAAAAGACGTATTCTTGCCATGAAAATTCATGTAAGTCCCACATGTGACACTTTTGAGATCATTAATTTCAGATTTTGAACTGAGTGTTTTTAAGATTACTAAAGTCAGTGCAGTAGCTTTGTTGGCACAAGCTATGGCAGAAGCAATAAGGGTAGACAGCCTATGGGAGTGAAAGGCAACAGCTGGGACCAGCCTATGATGGGAGTCTTGCATCTTTCCACTTTCTGATTTTTCCCCCCTGGTAATAAACACGATTTACTCTGAAAGTCAAAATGGTTCCAAGTGGAAATGCTACTACTAATGTGCTATTTTATTGAAAAGTAGAACCCGGCCTTTCAATGCAGCTCACCAAATACACAAAGGTTGGTGTACACTTGTCTCAGGCTTTGTGTCGTAAGAGAGAGGCAAAAAAGGGGAGGAAAGCTTTAGCCTTTTAAAATGTAATAAAAAACATGTCTGGGGACATGTTTGGACCTAAAATCCTCTCTTGTATATGTGTGTCCTCTCTTGTATATGTGTGTCAAGCATAAATGATGCTTCTTTAAAGGTCACCATTCATACAAAAGAGTCACCTGGCAATATCATTCTTTATAGTACAAAGGAGATACAAAGCCCTGAACAATTTAGGTCCATTGTACCTCAGAGACAGCCTAAACCAGGCATCCCCAAACTCGGCCCTCCAGATGTTTTGGGACTACAACTCCCATCATCCCTAGCTAATAGGACCAGTGGTCAGGGATGATGGGAATTGTAGTCCCAAAACAACTGGAGGGCCGAGTTTGGGGATGCCTGGCCTAAACCCATCCTAAGCTCCATCACGGAGGTCATCTGTAGACTTGATTGGTTGTCCCCCCAGTTGGTGAAGCTCATCTGACAGCAGCATGAAACTGAGCCTTTGCAGAACTCTCTGTCAATACAGATTTTAATTGGTTTCTTCATTCCGCCTATTATTGGAAGGAGCCAATAGAAAGTGATGATATGTTTGGCTACTCCTTCAAATTACTGTGAGCAATAAGAATGGGCCTTTTTCTTCTTCTTACCCGACTGGCTCCTCTGGCATCCTTTGCTGCGCAAGACATCCTCTATTGATGTTCCAAAAACTAGATGAATATTTTGGAGGAGACCCTGCAAAGAACATACGCACACACAAAATGTTTGTATCATTTAAGGTAACAGCAGATCATTAGTCTACTTCCCACCTCCTTCAGAACTTCTTCAACCTTGACTGAATTTAATCATGCATAAATTGTTCGTTTATTTTATTCATTTAAATACCATATATTCCACCCTTCTTCAGCAGACCCCAGGGCTGATCACCACATAATTAAACAGAGAAATGAAGAAGAAAAAGTCCTGCACAACAACCAATCAAATGCTGTCATCAAAACAGGTCAGATATCACATTACCCACAGGCCTGGCAGAAGAAAAATGATTCTAGCTGGCAATGAAAACCATAGTGCCAGCTACAAGTGCTGAAAATAACCTCTTTGCTGAAAAGACTATGAACCTCCCTTAAATATAATTCTACTAACAGGGCTGCCACAGACAAGCTTAAACCTTGCATTTTTTCAGGTAGATGGGTCCAAAGTCAGTTAGGGATTTTTACATCAAGTCTAAAACCATGAATTTGGCCCAGTGTCTAATCAACAACCAGTGCAAGTGTTTAAGAACAACTGTATCATGAACTTACACAGACACCTCAAAAATCTGGCTGCAGTGTTTTCAACTAGTTTCGGTATTTGGAACATCTTCAAGGGCAGCCCCACATACAGTGAATTACAGGAATCCAAAGAGGAGGTTACTAGAGCACGGGTCCCTGTGGCCAGGAAATCCCTGTCCAGGAAGACCTATAGCTGGTGAAGTAATCATAGCTGGAAAAAAGCACTCCTTGTCACTGTGATCACCTGGAACTCAAGTTTCAGACTTGAATCCAATAGTTCCCTCAGACTTTGCACCTGGTCCTTCAGAGTGAATGCAACCCCCTACAGAACAGGCCACCTTCCTAATTCCTGAACCTGGGACCTTTCTGTCTTGTCAGAATTCAGCTTTAGTTTGTTGGCCCTCATCCAACCTAGTGCTGCCTTCAGACACTGGTCAAGCATCTTCACAGCGTCATCTGAGGCCAATGTCAAGGAGAAATCTGTCATCTGCATAGTGATGACACTTTCCCTCAAATCTTCTAATGACTGCTTTGAAAAGTTTCCTATAGATCCCTAATGCTAATAGTAATATCTGAAACCAGAGAACCCACTGAAAAACCCTACCTAGGACTCCCAACTCACAGAGTCAGTTCAGGAGGATACTATGGTCACAAGCCGTTGTGAGATTTGAGGAGCATCAATAAGGTTGTACTCCCCTTGTCCTGACACATCATCAATCAAGGGGGCCAAAAGCTACTTCACTGCTAAAACAAAGCCTGAAGCATAATGGAATTGGCTTCCTCCAAGCACACCTGCAGTTGCTCAGCTTCCACCCTCTCCAACAACTTGTCCAAAACCAGGATAGTTGCTACTAGTTGACAGTTGTGTCCTTAGGGTCCAAGGAGGGTCTTTTGGAAATGGGATATATTGGCCAAACACTCAAATTCCTTATCCATGTTCCCATGTCTCAATAACGGAACCTGATCCCAAACCAGCCAAGACAGTGCTCTGGATGCCTCCACCAGATTGCATTAACAGTGGTGTCAAGGTCAGACCAAATGTCTGTGACTTTGCCCTCAAAGTGCTTTGCAGCTTTTCAAGGTAGGTTTACAAGGGCTCCAAAAGCTCCACCACCCAGAAAAGCTCTGCTGGACAGTACTCGAGGACACAATCCCCCAAAGCATTCAGGATTCCATCAGATTCCACCAGTCTTCAAGCACAGACAATCCGAATAGGTCCTCCATCCCTCTATAGGGGCACAGTGACCATATATCCGAATTGCTAGAATAAATACTATTGTTTGTAGCTAATATGTTGGTTCAGGGCAGTAATTTCTCAGCATGGGAGAAAATATTCCACCAGCTCTCTTGCTAATGCACTGCCAAAAGTTCTAATTGTCAGTTTCCCCAGCCACTCTGGGCAACTTACAACACATAAAAAAAATTGCAAGATATTGGACACGGGCCTCCTCAATCCTCTTAAGAAGATGACACCTTTGCTCCAGTCAAACCAAAGGCAATAAACGAAGAACAAACCTTGTTTACAATTCATGATTTGCCTGAAGTGAGACAAACCATGAGCCCAGATTTGAATGCAATGCTATGCCAAACTTTGACTTAGTCCTGAGTAACACGGCAGCGGCAGAACTGGAAGAGTGCAACCATCATGACTTTTGTTGTGGGAACCCACATGGATTGGCTTAGTGTCACATGCAAACCAAATCCAATGAGTTCAGCAGCCAATGAGCCACCACAGAGCTTTCAGTAAAAGCACTCCAAACCATCCCGCTGAACTCTGGTTAATTCAGGTGAGCAGTGGAGGTTGGCATGTTAGGAAAAAGTAGCCACTGCCCCACCAACTTCCGTCTGTCTTCAGCCAGCCCCCACCTGTTTGTTTGCTTCCTTCCTTACATCCAGGCCATGGGATGGCACTGCCTGTCAGCCTCCTCCCACTGCCCCTCAGTGTTGGCCTGGGAAAATTTCTTCAGGGAAAAAGCAAAGGAGAGGAACACAACCAGAATTTGCCGGCTCCATCTGTCATTGGCTCCACCTAGTGCTGGTCACCTTGCCATCCCAACGAACACCAGCCTCTACTCTATGTGGTTAAGTTAATTCTTTAGCCATCAGAAAGTGGAGCTCTTGGCTCGTGCTCTGAGGAATCATCCAGTTGAAGGAAAAGCAAAGGTAGTATTCTAATAGCCAAGAGATAGAGTGTCCATGAAGGACTTCTTCAGGAATGCTATGGGGTTCATTTTTACCTGACCATGACATTTGCCATTGAGGCCAGAACAAGATGCAGTGCAGAACAATGGTTTCCTGCCAAAAACAGCAACCCCGTGTCTCCCTCCTCTCCTCATAAGTGTAGCAAACAAAATGTGTGGCTGATATTATTGAGTCATTCCCGCATCCTACCCCAGACATGACAGCCAGTGTGGTGTAGATGTTAGAGCAGCAAATCTTAACAGAAGCTGCCAGTGCAATTCTATACATTTCTCCTCAGGAGCGAGCCTCACTGACTTTAATGGAGCTTACTCCCTGGTAAGTGTGTAGAGGACTGAAGCCTATATGGCCTCCATGCTGCCTATCTACAACTCTTGGTGGACATTCAGAGGTTTGGATATAGCAAGTGGGCTAAATGTGTCAGGGTTTTAGACAGCTCCTTCTCCCATCTTGGAGTGGCTTCTAGACAAACAGCAGAAGAGACTTGTTGCATAGTGCTCACCCACCTTTATGGAAAACATCTCCATTTTCACTTCTGTGACCTTGGCACAGAGCGAAGATGAATCAAACAGATACCCCTTCCTCACTTGGGGCAAATATTTCTGCATCCATTTACAATTAGACTAAGTATGTGTGAAGAGTTTTCAGAAAGAGAACAGCACTGTCATTGCACCAAAGTCAAGGGAGAAGCTGGTTCTCCAAAAGTGCCAATTGAATCCCCTCTAATTCTGGCCTAAGAGTTTACATTGTTAAGCATACATAAGGCAAACTAAACAGGATCCAGGACCAGCACAAGACATTCTGCTGTCTGAGGCAGAACAGCCACCATTTCACCACATTCTTCCCTTGCCCACAGATTTATCCCTCTGCTGCGCAAATTTGCCACCCTTCCCATTGCACAGTCCAAGACAAAAGTCTCAGTGGGGCTACTATATGGGCTGCCTTCTGTCAGGATCTCATTATAAGGGTTCAGTCTTATTCACACCAACCTCGGAGGAAGCCCCACTGAATTCATTACAACCTCTGGGTAGATATGCATAGGGATTGAACTGCACGTCATTGACCTCACAGGTGTGGTAGGTTACCTACCCGAAAGTGAGTTTCTCTGGCAGATCCTTTTGTCACATACATTCTACTTTTCTCTGCTTTCAGGTTTTCATAGAAAGGCTCCTCCAGGCTCACACTGTCAATGAGGTCGCAACCAACATAGAGACTGTAGTTTTCCCCGGCTACTTGTACTGTGATGTTCTTCCATAGTGAATCGGCTAGGTCCACGTCTTCCAAAAGATACTTCTTCCGGAAGCCATCTACCCAATAGGAAAGTTCGAGTGAATTTTCTCGGCCATTGGAAACAATCTCAAACTGGCGCTGAGCGGTGCCAGGGCCTTCCAGTGCCAAGAGGGTGCCCCTGGCCAGCCTGTCCTGCCTGAAGGTGGCTACAAGAAGGAAGCCCTCGTTTCGCTGGATCAGTTTAATAATCTGCTTTAATTTCTCCGAGTTAACCGGAGGTATGTGATCAAACCGGATGAAGCGGTATGCTGGGAGACTGGAATTGTTGCCCCGAAATACTTTTGCTCCAATTGTCTTCCTGTTTATGTTGCTTATTTGCAGCAAGTCAAAAGTGGACTCGTCCTCTTGGCCGTCATCTGCAAAGGCAACAACATGAAGGAACATGATTAACAAAGAAATGTAAGGCATGGGGTGATCTCATTCACCCTCATTTTATGAGGCAGGTCACAGATACTCCAATTTTCATAGATGGAGTAAACTTAAGTTAATTTGTTCAAGGCCAGCCAGCTAAATGGAAATGGACACTCGAGTCTCCCTGATCAAAATCCAACACACTTCCAATGAGACACTGACTTAAATGATGAAGAAAATGATCTGACGCTTAGGGTGGGTGCATGCTCAGGGAACCATCAGACATTATTAGAGAAACAGTAGTAGCAGTCCATGCAGATGAGTGATCAATCAAACTTGGCAGTCCACCTAGCCTGACAGTCCTCTTAAGGGACTTGTAGAAGATTCTCTCCTAGCCCTGCAATCTGGGATTGAACCAGGGACCACATACAGGCAATCTTACGAGTCCTACCATTGAAGCCCCCATCCAATTGGGATGCTGGCAATCTGAAAATGGTGGCTCTTATGTGTCTTTGCCTATTACGTCTTCCTAATGGGATGTGAATAATGGCTGTTCATTTGGCGCAAAACACCAAATTCAGTGACTCCATCTACTTGGTACTGCTTCTTGGAAAATGTGTGGAAAATATCCTTCATGAAACTGAATGGCTTAGATCCAGAGGTGCCTTGCTCAAGTTGAAATTTACATATCTACTTGTGCATGACTGCCTCAACAAATTCTCCTAATTTCTCTGTCTTGATGCAGACTCCCAAACCCCTTCATGTGCCTCAGCTCTCAGGATTGATTTTGGGGGGCAGAGGTGATACAATAGAGTGAGCAAGAGGGGTGCAGGAAACCATACTGTAGTTGGAAAGGAGCCAGGTAACCGCACTGGCTGTGTAGAATTCTTCTCTGGATCCAGTCCAACAAAATTTCAAATCAAACTGTCTGCAAATATCCAAAGTGAGAACCTGGAAGCCATAGGGATGCCATATATAAGCTGCTCTTAATTTTCTTAGGGAATAGTAGGGTATAAATGCAACAAACAATAATAACAAAGCATATTTTTTGAAGTTTTTCAGCTTGATAACTGAATCCTAATTTCCAACAAGGAGAACCAAAATATAAATACATTTTAGCCAACTAAGTAGTTGGTGCTCTAAAAGGGGGAGGTCTTTACACCACAAATTAATTTGACCAATTGATGCCAACCCTCAATTTGATCTACATACATATCCCTCCACTTTCCTTGATGCATTTATAGTAAGGTATATTATCTATGCAGGCTAGTTTCATATTTCAGGCATGCTATGGAAAGAAATAATTGAGCAATTATTCTCAAGACCAAGCCAAGTGAGTGAGCAGAAGCCAAGCTCCTTTTAAGCACCAGGCTACGGTTGCCAGAGCTTTAGCCCACTCTGGAAATACTTGGCCTCAATGCTACAGATATTTAAAGACCTACCTTGAGCCTCTGAGGAAATCCACAAAGCTAGCAAGATCGTCAGCCACAACAGCCAGCTCCTGTCCTGCATAATGCCTATGAACAAAGCAAGATGTGCACATTGTTGATTGTCTGTTTTTAAATTTTCCCATGTCTCCCACAAGCTTACAACAGAAGCAACTATTCTGAAAGCAAATGTTGGTTCTGTCAGATGCCATTTTATTGTTTATGTCACCTATTTCTAAATCGTCCTTCATCAATTAATTGCCATTCTATATTTGTTTCTCTGTTGTATTTTTTAACTTGCAAACCAGAAAACTTTCACTGTTGTGTGGTAGACAAAGATTAAAAATCAACCCATCATTGGGGCATTTTTTATGAATCCTGGTATACACTGCAAACAGGACATTTATTACTTCTGACAATGCCTCTATATGTGTGAGAACCCAGGTGCTTGATCCTGGCTTGACTATGATAACATTAGTGAAAGCACACGCTTTAAATGCACAGTGCGGGGGAGGGGGGAGGCTCAAGTGTTTAATATCCTTCCTAATAAATTCAAGGAAATATATATGATACAACCAGAATTGTCTTCAAAAGTTTTCCATGAGACGTCTGGGCTCTCAGATAGTCTACTAGTTATTGCATCTCTTAAATCCACTTTTGGCAAGCCGTAGAGCTACATTCTTGAAAGATAATGGCATTTCCAGCAGCATTTCACATGTAATTTAACTTATATATTAAGCTACAATAGCAAATTCCAGTCTCTCCCTGTCTCAGTCACACTCATTCACACATACATACTCTCTTACTGCTGGAAAGACAGAGACAGCCTGCTTCTCTATACCAATTGTGTCACATCAAGATGAAGTGATGCTGCGTCTCCAGTCCAATCTCCAGTTACCTGAGAGTAAACCTCATTGTATTTGGCAGCATTTACTTCTGAGTAGACACTATTAGAACTGCAGCCCAGATCTTAGAAAAGTCAGTGGGATTTACTTCTGAGTAAACAAGCACAGGAATGGACTACACATCTGTCTTGTGTCTGAATGGACTCAGGAAAGTAGACCTAGCCCTCTGCCGGATACATTTCTTGATGATTTCTATACACCCAAACTTCTTGAAGAGATGCAAATTTAAATCTCACGACCTGCCCTAGCCAAAATTATAGGTTCGCAGCTGCAATCCAGAGTAGATTCACTAGGTGTCCCATTGAACTAGGTGGAATTTGTTTCTGGGTAAATCTCCCCCATCCACAGCTTGCATCATTATCTGCTGCACTTTCCCAAAGAAGACACCAAAACTGGGTATTTTTGTGCAAGGTGAATATTTCCAGAAGTGGGGTTGTGCACATAATTAATTCCTCTGCTTAATTATGGTTGGATTGTACGGGCTACAAGGATCGCACCATACTTTGAAGTCACCTTATCAACCCATGCCCTTATCATAAGAAAATCAGTGCCATCCCTAGACACAGAAAGTCTACAATGATGCTATATAGAGTGACAAAGACCAGGTTCCCCTTAGGAAGCTCTGCTGTCCTGCTTAAACTCCAGTGAAAAGAAAGAGTTCCCATCACTCTCACAGGGGTGTATACATGAGAACTTCCTCATGACAGTGCCCCAAAGGAGTTCCTGCATCTTAGCCTTGAACATTTTTTCTGGAAGCTGTCTAGGGTTGCACCATACAATGCACTAGATATTGATCAGACTTTGCATTGGCCCCTGTCCTGTCAAGCTGCTGTGAGCATTTGCTTTTTGTGTGTGTTCCCAGCTGCCATTCCTGACAACGGGGCTTGCACAAGAAAACTTCCCAGTGGTGGGTGGTGCCCTTTCTTCATCCTAAAGATCTACGCCCTTTTTGAGCCCAAGTAAAAAAAAGCTTTCTTTACAAGGAAGAATTAGGGAAAGAATGAGGAAAAAAATCGGAGAAACTACCCAAGATTGTTGACAAGAACTGGGTCCAGTGCAATCTTAATTGTCCCATTCTACTGAATGGCATTCCCATACGATTTACTCAGAACAGACACACTGAAATTCACATGTTTGAGTTAGGTACATTCATTTCAATGAGCCTACTCTGAGTAAAATTTAGTTGCATACCACCCGCTGAATTCGATGGCCCTTACTCCCAGGTAAGCGGAGTTATGATTGCAGCCTTAGGCTCCGGTCCCAGGCACCCTTCTAGGTTGGAAAACTGCATACATAGGATGCTTGCACTTAATCTCCTTTGAAATCAGCGGGACTTAGGTCCTGCGATCTCGCCCCCTTGATTTGGCTCCAGCCCATTTTCTTTATTTTTAAGACGACCCTAGGGAGCAAGTCTCCTTTCACTCCTTGGAGGTGGTGCTGCCGGGGTCTCTCGGGGGCGTCCCTCTGTTGACCCCCACCCATCCACCCACAATCCGGCTCCAACCTGTCCGCACTGGTCCCAGGGCCGTTACCTGGCACGCAAGTCCCCCGCGATGCTCTTGAGAGCTGCCGCTTCCCAATGCAACTCCAAGCAGGCGGCGAGTTTCCAAAGTCCCGTGGCGAGAGCGCGAAGCCAAGTCAGCTCCCTGCAAGGGCAAGTCCTCGGCCGGGGAGGTGCGCGCAAAAAACCCCGCTTCGCCTCTTAGCCGGGCTGCCTTTCAAAGAGGCGCTCGGCTCGCCTGCTTTATATAGGCTCCTCTCGCATGCGAGGCCTGTCAATCAGCCAGCGGAGGAAACGCTCTTGGAAGGCGTCCCTCCGCGGCAATGACATAATTCCCCATTCTGAGCGGACAATTTGCTCGCTCGCCTACCTGGAAGGCGAGCCCACATCCAGCCACATCCTGAACCACAAGAATCCCCCCTCCTCCCCCCACCCCCAATTTGGCAGCTCTTCGTCTGGGGAAGGGGAGGAGCGAGGGGGAGAAAGGAATGAGGCATGGTCACACCTCCTCCCCATTCCTAAACACTTGGGAGGAATTTGGGTGTTTGGGTTTTTTTGCCTTTGTTTTCATCCAGCGATTTGATGATCCCGTTGGATTTCCTGGTGGGACAAAACGGGACCAGATTCTGGATGGCCGCTTGGAGAAGCAGCAAAGGATGAATGCTGAGGAACAGAGAGTTACAAAGTAATAATAATAATAATAATTTTATTATTTATACCCTGCCCATTTGGCTGGCTTTCCCCAGCCACTCTTCACCCAAAGCTGAAGAAGTGCCTTATAGGCCAACTCCCCATCCCTACTTGGTGTAGAATTTTTTATGCATTTAATAATAATAATAATAATAATAATAATTTATTGCATTTTTAATCCCACCTTTTTTCCTTCAAGTTGCTCCAGGTGGCATACGTGGTTCTCCTCAATTAGCCCTGTGAGGGAGGTCAGGCTGAGAAGCAGCGACTGACCTGAGGTCACCCAGTGAGTTTCATGGCTGGGTGGGGATTTGAACCCTAGTCTTCCAGGTCTCATTCCAGCACACTGCAATATACTGGCTCTCCACACAGAAGCTACAGCAGCCTGTGCCAACGTAGTGCCCTCAAAATGGGGCTAGTGGGAGTTGTAGTCTAAAAACTCTGGAGGGCGCACCAGGTTGGCACAGATGGATTGAGCATTCCCAAATCCTTACAGACGGCTGCCCAGCCTTTGCTGGAAGATCTCCAGCGAGGAAGAGCTTTACATTCTTCTGCCACACAGCTGCACACAGGAAGTGGGAAGAAATCCTCCAAGGGTACGGCACATGACCAAGCACAGCTTCCTTACCTCCACTCCCACCCCAGGAGGAGAGAGAGTCAGTCTCAGGATATTATTATTATTATTATTATTATTATTATTATTATTATTATATTTGTAGCCCACACATCTGGCTGGTTTTCCCCAGTCACTCTGGGCAGCTTATAGCATATTTTTTAAACATAATAAAAATATCAGACAATAACCTCCCAATACAGGGCTGTCTTCAGATGTTTTCTAAAAGTTGTGTAATTCTTTATCTTCTTAACATCTGAAGGGAGGGTGTTCCACAGGGCAGGTGCCACTACCAAGAAGGCCCTCTGCCTGATTCCCTGTAACCTCACTTCTCACAGTGAGGGAGGAGGACCTCAGTGTCTGGGTTGAACGATGGAGGTGGAGATGCTCCTTGAGGTATACTGGGCCAAAGCCGTTTAGGGCTTAAAACAGGCATAGGCAAACTCGGCCCTTCAGATGTTTTGGGACTACAGCTCCCATCATACCTAGCTAACAGGACCAGTGGTCAGGGATGATGGGAGCTATGGTCCCAAAACATCTGGAGGACCGAGTTTGCCTATGCCTGGTTTAAAAGGTCAGCACCAACACTTTGAATTGTGCTCAGAAATGTACTGGGAACCAGTGAAGATCCTTGAGGTCCCAACCAGCTTGTTATATGGTCTGCTCCCAGTCACCAGTCTAGCTGCCGCATTCTGGATTAGTTGTAGTTTCCAAGTCACCTTCAAAGGTAGCCCCACGTGGAGCGCATTGCAGTTGTCCAAGCAGGAGAAAACCAATGCATGTACCATTCTGGAAAGACAGAGTGGTCATCTTTGTAAGTCCTTTCTTTGCATATAGGAAAGACTAAGTTAGGTCAGTACTTGTTCTTGAAGAACAGCTGCCTACCTGAGCCCTGCACTCATCAACTGTACAAAGGTGATGCTGGTGGGTGCAGGATGGGGGAAGAACATCAGATTGATGCTAGACATTACTGTAGGATTCAGTGAGTTCATCCTGTTCACACAAGGACCTTCCACTTGTACTGGCTGCCCATCTACTCCTGAGCCAAGTTTAAGGTCCAGGACCATTTTGCTGGATACAGCCCAGTGACTTCTACCTCTCTGTTCTCTGCTTTTGATGCTCTTTTTATGTAGTGTTTGTTAATAATAAAAATGTTTTTTAAAATAATAATAATAATAATAATAAAGTTCCCAGGATGGACAGGCATTTCCACACGCCGTTTACAAAATTGTCCACACTGACTGGCAGCAGCTCTCCAATGTTTCAGACACAAGAGACATTCCCAGCATTGCCTGGAGATGCCAGGGATTGAACCTGTGACCTCCATGCAAATGTTCCATCACTGAGCTACGGTCCTTCCCCAGTCACCCATACAAGTACGAAGGAGCCTTTGGACAGGATGATGCAGCCAGCCACCTTTTTATTTACAACTGAACATGAGGAGGAGAGATTCAGAAGCAAGTGCAGAGGTAGGTATTATATATCCATTGCAGGGAGAGAGAGGGGGAGAGAGAGAGAGAGAAGGGGCTGGACTAGATGACCCTTGGGGTCCCTTCCAACTCTGCAATTCTATGAGTCCCAATCAATATCAGTCTTCTCCCTCCAGAAAGCTCTTAGCAACACACACTAGTCCAGCAAAGCTACTGTTCCAGCAGAGAGACGTGCAGAGACCTCCATGCTGGCAGGTGGATGTGATTGACGGGACATTCCATATGCTTGGAACAAGGACCTTCTTGTTAAGACCTAAGAGTGCTACTTGTCTCTAACTCTGAAGAACAGAATGGCTCGCGGTGGTATGCATGGTCCAAGGTAAGATAAAAAGGAAGACTCTCTTTTGAGAACCTTCAGAGGATGCTTCTTTCCCAACCAGCTTGCACGTATTATCAGTAATATGGGAAGGCTTCTAGACAAGCGTCCCGATAAACTTGTACTGTTGTACCCCTCTTTTTAGACATTAAAAACTGGGTGCATTGTGCCTATAGAGCAGGATTTCGGTTATTGACAGTGCAATCTTTTTATGCATGCCTACTCAGAAGTCAGCCTCATATGCTTCGATGGAACTTCCTCCCAAGCAATTGCATATAGCAGTGTTTCCCAATTGGTGGTCCACAGACCCCAGGGGTTCCATGTAACCCACCCAGGGTCTTCATGGCACATACCCGTCAACTTCAGGGACATCCTGGTTTTTTGGGGGGGGGCTGTGCTTTTGTGTGAGAGCACAGCGGCCAAAAACATGTGAGCCAAGTGCACATCTTGCGCCAGTTCGTGGCGCCCCAAAATGGTGCCATACTCTCTTGTGTGGGTCACCTGACTCATGCAGGAATGTGACCTGGAAGATGTGCACCCCAGTTTTGTGCCGGGACACCTCGAAGGGTGTGGTGGCACTATTCACATATCAAAAACTTCCACAGAGACATCAACATTTTCAAAAATGGGGGGGGGGGGTCCATGGCTCGGCTTTCGAAAAACAGGGAGCCACTGGTGTACAGGACTGCAGCCTAAAAGTATGTTTTGCTACAAACCAAGATGAAAGCACAGGATCCATTTTCTCTCAAGGAGAAGCCTGTCAAAAAAGAGATGGGCGCAATGCAATTGTGCGTGATTCAGAAACATGCCTACCACACTTACTGACTGTTCCAATTGCTGAACTTCAAAAGTTGTGGGAAGCCGTGCCTGACGTGGATTCCTTCTCCCCTTTTCTAGCAACACTGTCTCCTTGGCAGGCGCACTAGCGTGTGGAATAAACCTGGCCCTCATTAGCTGGGTTGGTGCAAGGCTTGAGGCCAGATAGCAGCAGCAGCAGCAGCAGTCACCGCCCCTGCCTCCCCAGCTCCAGTGTCAGGATGGAGCTGGGGGGAAGGCATGGAGAGGGAATGGAAGAGCTGCATATTTCACTTCTGGAGATGCTGGCATGCTGGGGAGGGGAGGGGGAGAAGCTGCAGAGCAGCAGGAGTCCAGAGGGAGGGAGACTGACAGAGCGCTCAGGCAGGATCCAGCTGTAAGGCAAGAGCCAGAGGGAAATCTCTTCAGCGCATAACGCTACGCTACACAGGCAGCCTCCGAGCTCCAGACAGGAAATTCTCCACCTTGCTCTGCCTCACCTCTAGATGTGTAGACTGGTTTTATGAAGTGGGGTCACGCTTAAAAAGTGGCTGGAGAATTTAAGGTTCCTTTTTGCCGTTTCCTAATTCAGGTCTTCTGCTCCTAATTCTCACGGATAGCAGATGGTGGTAACATTCTTCCTGAACTTGCAGCCTAGGAAGAGTCCTGCTGCATCAGACAAAGCAGTCTCTCCTCACAGAGGTCAAGACACATGCATAGCATGAACATAATAGTACTCTCCTGCCCATGATGCGATTCCCAGCCACTGGCATTCAGAGGCACACTGACCCTGATTGCAGGGGTTCCCAGCGCTGTTTTGGTGTGGCAACCCACAAGTCCAGTTAACTAGGTTTGGTGACCCATGAATTAATCGTCACATGAATTCTGGACTGAAGGCCTTCTTTGCCACCAGCGAGCAATTCCTAAGTATTAAAATGTAAGACTCCGGGCTTTCTGGGTTTTGGTAACAAGCATCAACACTGCACTATAACATGCCAACAGAACAAAAAGTTGTAAGAGGCATTCATCATACCACTTAATGATTGCAGGAGATAATTATTTGGGGTTTACTTATAACAGCTATGACCTACCACAGATGAATCGTGACCCACAGTTTAAGAAATCCTGCTCTATAGTCACTGTGACTAGTAGCTTTTGCTAGCCTTACGCTCCATGAATAGGAAGCCCCCAAGAAAATATACAGTGGTACCTCGGGTTACATACGCTTCAGGTTACAGACTCCGCTTACCCAGAAATAGTACCTCGGGTTAAGAACTTTGCTTCAGGATGAGAACAGAAATCGTGCTCTGGCAGCGCAGCGGCAGCGGGAGGCCCCATTAGCTAAAGTGGTGCTTCAGGTTAAGAACAGTTTCAGGTTAAGAACGGACCTCCTGAACGAATTAAGTACTTAACCTGAGGTACCACTGTATATAAAAAAGGTAAAGGACCCAGTCAAGGGCAACTATGGGGTTGCGGTGCTCATCTCGCTTTCAGACCAAGGGAGCCAGTGTTTGTCCACAGACAGCTTTCTGGGTCGTGGCCAGCATGACTAAAACTGCTTCTGGCGCAATGGAACACCATGACGGAAACTATAGTGCACGGAATCGCCATTTACCTTCTTGCTGCAGCAGTACCTATTTATCTATGTGCACTGGCATGTTTTGAACAGCTAGGTTGAATAGCATACAGAGCAATGGGAGCTCACCACGTTGCAGGGGTTCGAACCGCCAACCTTCTGATCGGTAAGCCCAAGAGGCTCAGTGGTTTAGACCACGGCGCCAGCAGCATCCTGAGTGCACCAGCAGTCTCCACTTGCATTTTCCAGCAACTGGTATTCAGGGAACAGTAGCCATTGCTAGTCTTATCCTCTGTGCATCTGATAAAACTTGTTTAAAAGCATACCAGTTGGTGACCATTACTGCATGTGTGAGCTCACCCCTCCGGTAGAAAGCCTCATTTTGAATCCTAAATAGAATTCTGTGAGAGAACTGGATTTGCCTCAGGAGTAAAAACGAAAGACGCTTTGCATTATAAATCCTAGAACATTTTCTTCAGCACCTGTTCAGCGTATTTGGGGATTTGTCATATTTTATCCCCATATATGCTCTGCTGAAGAGGTCAACAATTCCAAAACGTTTAGAAAATCGTGAAGAATGGTCTCCTGCTAAGAGAACTCGCTTTGCATTTGAGCATGGAGAATCCTGGATGGAACCTATATGGTTTTCTTGCTGTAGGTTCCAAACTGTACTTTAAGTTTCATCTGGAGGCCCTTCCATCATCCAAGGCCGTACACTTATGGTGCCTTTGCCACATGATTCGTCCCCCTGCTAAGAAGACAACAGGCTGTGTTCAATTAGAATAATTGATAACTGCTCCCATTTTGTGGAAAGCTGCTTCAGAATTTTTAAAGCACCATCATTTTCAAACCTGAGGGGGGTTCAAATTTTGTCCTATCCATCACGTATATAAAAATAAGGGCCCAAGCTGTGGATTTTGGGATGTTCTGCCTCTGGCTTTATTTTGTAAATCCAAATCTCCAGTGCTTTCCTTCACTGTTGTTGATCTATTGATGTAATGCTCTGAGCTTGTGTGCTTTGAGCAGGACATACAAGGCCTTCATGAGGTGCTGGAACTCTTATCATGATAAAATTGCCATAGGTGCCTACTTCAGCCTTCAGCCAATGAGAATTGTAACCCAAAACATATGGAAGGAACTGGGTTGCCAAAAAGCTCCCCTGCTTGCTGCTTTTCCTCACTCACCAAGGACCTTACAAAAAATCAAAAAGTTTCACTCACACATCACAGGTCCAGCTTCCGTGCTGCCACTCAGGGCTGCCATGATCAAACAGCAGCCTTTTCCTGCTAAATTTTAGTAACTTCAGGTATGAGATCTCTGTTTTGTAGGGTCTTTACTATGCTTTGAGCAGGACATACATGGCAGCTCTAGCAAATTGCTGTCTATTCTTGGTTTCTTAAAATTGACTTCGCATGGTATCCCCACTCACTCTCTTACTGGCTTCAGATCAATCAAGAGACTATCAAAGGTTTCTTTCTTCCAAAAAATAAAAATAAATCTTCTAGCAAATTTATTGCTTCTGTTACTACCCACATACTATATGCCAAGGAAATTAAGCTTATGATGTGTGACATAATTCCACCCACCCATTTTGGTGATACTACAATGCTTGTCCATTTATTCAATATTCTACTGTGATATTCTACATTTCTACAATATTCTACATATTCTACAATATTCTACATTTGATATTCTACAATATTCTACATTTGAGAGAAACCAATGATACACTCCCTTGATGACATCCCCTCTGTCCCAGCCTCTTTTTTTTTAAGACAAGAGCCAACACTGATATGCTAAAATGTGTGTGTGCGCACACACACATACTTTACTAGCTGGCAGGGCAAAATATATGAAACAACCAGATCAGTAGTGACATGTGCCAGGTTGTAATCTGTAAATTCAGTCCAATAAATGATAATAGAGTTACAAAAAAATGAAAAGAAAGTAACACAGAGGTTTGATGATGCCATGGAATAAGGGCTGGAGACTCCGGCAGGCAAGAAGTTCACCTCTGTTCAATTTCTGCAAATATTCACATTGTGACCTTCCCTTAGGGAACCAGAAACTCCAATAAACTTTCCTATACTGGATTCATTCACTGTCCCAAGAAAGCGACTGATAACATGCAAATGTGTTTTAAACAGGCTGTGAAATTACAGTAATAAAGTTGTGCATGAACACAAAAGAGAGAGAGAGAGAGAGATGATAGACAGACAGACAGACAGACAGACAGACAGATATGAAGTCCAGCCAGTTAGAACCATAAATCAATAATTACCATATTTTTCCGTGTACAGGGTTTTTTCAAAAAAAATAATGTCAACAATTAGGGGGCGTCTTATACACGGGTAGTGTCTTCCCCCATTTTCTTAAATCTGAGTCCCCCAAAATAGGGGGCGTCTTATACATGGGGGCATCTTATAGACGGAAAAATATGGTATCCATAGCATGGATTCCGCTGTTATGGCAGAAGCAAGACCCTCTTGGGGTGTTAATGCTGTGAACCCCTCCGTCGTAGGCTCAGGTTGTATATATGTGTAAATAAACCATATCTTATAACCTAATAAGAACAGATACTACACTTGATCTTAGCCAAAAGGCCAACACCACAGTCTCTACTGTACTTCATTCCAAAGGCAACACAAACCCTTGATAAGTACATCGAAACCCTGGAACCACATTGCTATGAGATTAGAGTGGCATGCCACAATAAATTCTGGCTAGATCCAGTAATCACATACAACAAAGGGGAGCAAGACAGCAGTTATTCTTTACAGAAAGTGTGTTTCCCTTTCCTTGCTTATATTTGTGGGGATCTTTATCCTGGCATCCCCAGTTGTTGGGACTGGAGCTGGGTAGGCTGTTTGTATAACGAAGCTTATATTTCCATTTGGGCACAAATAAAGTCAAATCTGGGAGTGAAATAAACAAATGCGCAGCAAATCAAAAGACATGCACAGACCCCAGGAGCATTCGTTCCTCAGTAATGGTGCTACCCAATCTGTTATGGATTAGCACCTCCTGCCTGCCCGCCCGCCCCCATCCACAATCTATCAAATGTGGCAGACAAATCCTGCCAATGAATGTAGCAACCCAAATGCCATCTGAAGTCATTGTTTTCATGAAAAAGTGTTTGGTGTGTAGAAATCCCTGTCATGGAATGATGTGTGAGTCACAAGGCAGGGAATATATCTCAGCTGATGATTTGTGGCATTAATGGGAGAAGGTCAACCCTCTGGTCTGCTTGGAAGACCAGTTTGCTGAGGAATTTGATTTCGGTGTCTCATCCAGCTTCTGCATTACGGAAGTTTGTGTAAGTGTGCAGTGGCAGCCAAAAATGCTTTCCAGAATTTCCACAACACAAAGGCCTGCCAGAGGTTTCTGTTGCGTTTTCATCTGTCTGCAGGGCCGGCTCCTGCAGTGGGCTAGCCAGGGCGCTGGCCAAGGGCCCAAGAGCTCAGAAAGGTCCCTCACTGGCCCTGGCCCCAGCCCCAGCCCCAGCCCTCGGGGGGGTGGGAGAATCAGTGCAACAACCTTGGCCTTGGGCTTTAGGACGCTCCATGTTGGTAACAGCCACAGTTGGCTCCTTGCAGCTATTGCTACCTAGGAGCAGGCACTCTCTGAGCACTGACTGCACAGCACACAGTGGAGGTGCAAGAATTTACATCTCAGGAACTTTATTCTGGGATATAACAGTAGGCAACCTTTATTTGGGATATAAATGTGTAGCTAACATTTATTCATTCATTTATATTACAACCTGACCACTTCCTGACTAAAAATATTAGGAATTGGGACACGACCAGTGGCAAGGTTACAAGCTTGTTTGTTTATTAAATTTCCATACGGCTCGTCATCCAAGGATCACAATGTGGTTTACAACACGCTCAAGTTCAATACATACTATATTTCGCTAGATCTGCACTAATGTTTATAATGTTAAGCAGGCATTTATGCAGAAAAGTATATACATTTCAATAATATCTACATTGTAAGGCTTGCATTGCACATTGTTTATTTTCCTAGTTTCGACTGAAATCATCCTCCCATTTACCTGGGAGTAAGCTTCACTGAATTCAAAAGGACTTACTTCTGATAAGGTATGGTTAGGATTGGACTGCTATGCGTTTTCTTCAAGGAGAAACAAAACATTTTAGTTTTGTGTATGCTCTAGTGGAGCAGAAGCTTTGGGCTCCTCTGCCAGCACTAGCCCACCAGTCTAGTTCTTATTTTTTAAACAAACTTTCCAACAGAAGTCATTTAGATATATTATAGAGATAATATTTTCCCTACTTTCCTACATAACTGTATGTATGTATACATACACCCACACCACTTTGGGGGCAAAGCCCTATTTCAGAGAGTACAGAATTCTGTTTCTTGATATTTCTACTAATTTAAATTAATTCTCTATGTTCATGGTATTGCTTTTCTTTTCTGATTCAGAAGACTCTCCATCTGACATGCCATCCACGTTACAAAACCGTCTGGAAGTTCTAGCCTTTAAGTAGCTTAAAAATTAATTCTGAGAGCAGAAGTCCAAACCAGCAATTCTTAATGGAGACCAAGGCAGTGGACAGATTATAAACTGAATCTGTTACAAGAAAGAGAAGCAAGGAAAGCAGAAAGAATAAATAGCTCATTCTAAGAACAGAAGTGCCTTTTGCCAGGTTTTCTTCTGTGATGCACTATTCATGGAAGATAATTCTCTGGCTCATGGAAAAAGCAACATCATTTTTGGATGGATCTGCTATTCTACCTCAGCCCAATCGGTATGTAGTATAATCCCAACAAATACCTCTCAAAGTTTTGGAGCAATATTGTGCAATATATCAGGGCTGTCTATTTCACTTGTGCAGACTTGGAAACCCTCCATTCTGTTCTTTCCATTGACATTCATACCAATACTGACTGTGGCAAAAAGCATCTTTTCCATGTTAGTGTATATAAACTGCATCACTGAGATTTTCTCGTTGTCCGGACCTCTTCCTGAGCAGACACTCTACCTTCCCTTGCCTAGTTTGTTTAAAAAGACTTGGTTATCTCATTCCACAACCCTGTTGAAGCGCACATCACATACTGCAGTGAGGATGGGGGGAAACCACTGAGAGATACAGCAAAACAGTAATGCTTCACCAGGAGCCCAGCCAATCCCAGTGCTGCTTGTTCTAGCTAACAGTGACTTGCCAAGGCAACAGGCGGGATTTTTACTGCTATTCTCCCTGCCTAAAAAAAGAAAAAGATTCCAGAAGTCCTTCCCCAGCTTGTGCATAATGTAATGAAGAAAGTTTTAGGTCCATAGTTGACAGACTGGCTTAATAAAGATCTTTCTGGGATGCTGGTAGAAATTTTCCTGAAACTCTGAGTCAAGCTTCTAGGAGGCCAGACTTAGGACCTCAACTTTTAGATATTGGAAAATGCTTTCACAATAGCCATTAGTTATTATGGTTCACAGGTAGGTAGAGCTGAGGGAGCAAGAAAAATGTTCCTCCAAAGTCCACTTTTTGACATCTGAGTTCAGCTCTGGCCTGCCAGACCCAATGGGTCATTATAAGGAAAAACCTTCCCTAGACTGGCTATGTGAACAAGACAACAGAGCCAGGAAGAGGGCAGGGGGAAGATGGCAGGCGGGAATAGTACCAGGTTCCCTCTCAGAAGGTTTTCTTCACATTAGGAGGCCTACTGGGAAGAACCGTTCTAGATTATCTGTCCGTTTCCATCATGCCCTATTCACAGGAATCTCATGGGGGGGGAGCAGCTGGAGAACCCCTAGAACAGAATGTATGGAGGGAAATCTTTCCATCGGGCAAGTTGTAATGCTTGTGCAAACAACTAGAAGAGCACAACTGTGCAAGCTACCTAATATCTCTTAAATGTGCTGATCTGAGCAACTGAGTCAAGATGATCCAGAATTGGCTACGTGTGATCACCAAAGAATAAAGAAGGAGGAGGAGGTCAGAGGGAGGGTGAAGACAGAAGGGATCCCTGACTCTTGATGGTTTTCAAAATGTACTGCTATTCTTTTTTTCCTTGGGGGAAATTTTACGGTTTTGTATTGCATTCTACTGTTGTTGTTTCTGTTTTATTGTTCCATATATAGAGCTGGCAGCAACTATCAGGTCCCACTTGCAAGGACTTTCACTAGTGCAACAGAGCATTCCCTCCTCCCTCCATGTGCTCCCCATGACCCCCCCCCATTTCTCTGTGAGGATGGGAGAACCCTCCAATGGCAGCAGGGAGGAGATGGGAGATCATTCCATCAGGCAAGCAGAACTGCTTGTACTTACACACTGAACTCCTTAGTGAGACACTGAATTCCTCCCATAGTATTTGTTTTTTTCGTAAACCACCCAGAGACTATTTTAGCACGAAGTGGTATATAAGTATGTGGAATAAATAAGTAAAAGCCACAAGAGAAGTGCTTTATCTATTTCATTTATTTCCTTTCATGTCCGTGAAGTAGAGCCACAACCTGAGCTGGGGAAAAGTGAACATTATTTAAGGAATTTTTTTTTTACTGATTTACAGTTTAGTTATTTTTATTATTATTATTATTATTATTATTATTATACAGACAGAGTTCATGGGCTTTCAGGAAATACATAAACAGCTCTCTGCAGCAGGCAGATAAGAAATGCAAAAAATGCAGGCGAACGGAGCAGAAGATGTTTTCTTAGGATGGAGTGATGTGTCACATTTGCCCAGCCCTTGCCTGTTCAATTTTAACTGCTCCCTTGCAGTGGGCAGAAAGTCAGATTGTATAATGAAAACTGCTTAACCAGCAAGTACAAGTAGCATTTGAGGTGAGCAATAAAAAGAAAATATGGAAAAGCGTGATCCTGAAACAAATATTTTTGGCTCAATATGAAAATTTTCAAGAGCCAAAATAGGCATTATTTTTTTTTATTCGGCGGATTCTGGAGAAAATGTTCTCAAAACCACACTTTCCCACTCAGGCGTTTATTGCTTAGCATTCCTAAGTCTGGAAAAAAGTGTGCAGCTTTTCTGAGTGTAAATCATCATTTCCATTCCTTTTCTCCGCTCTTCTAATTCACAGCACCTGATCTTGCTTTGGCCAGTGCAGACTCCACTATAGATTTTCCCCCAAAGTGAAAAAAAAGTAGTTCTGTTTTGCCGTCAGTTGGAAAGTAACTCTTGAGACTCCCCAAGGAGGTAAAAATATGTCTAAGAACTGCAGAAGGGATGGGGGTGGGGGCAGAGACCCATTGATATCTTAAATGTGAAATGTTATGGGGGAATCCACCCCACTCTCAAATTGCTAGAAAGTAATACGAATGGTTGCTCCACTGAAGAACAGCACTCAACATAGCTCCTTCCAACACTCGCAGCAGCTGTGAGGAGAGCTGCCAACTTCTCATTTGGTCTGAGCTTCTGTACCTTTAATAGCTGCAAGGCATGGATGTGTTTGGCTGCTTTGACTTTCCTCCATTCCTGATGACTTCTGAATATCCACAAGGGAGATTTAAGCCTCCTCTCCTCCCATTTGTGAAGTCCCCACCCATCACAGCTTATGTGGTAAGCAGAGCCAAGGAAACCAGGTGCCGAAGGCCAAGTTGTGTCACTGAAGTGGGGGACCTGTCTCTCAGCAATAC